TTAAAACACCGTAAAAAAAAAACAATGCCGTTATTACTACCGTTCCGCTGGAAAAACTTCTGCAATAGACATATTTTTTTTGCCTGCACAAAACTCTTTAAACAGACATGAAAACAGTAATATATATATGTATATTATTTTGTGTAATTAATTCAGTAATCTGGGTCCATATATTGTAACGATAGTGATTACTCTATAGAAATGATATTTTCATATTGTAAACACGTATCAAATTATAAACTGAAATTACTCCATAATTAAAATAATAATGTATACTATATAAAATAACTAATATTATAACACAATATGCATCAGATAATAAGATAATACTTTTCACGTTGGTTGTGGAGATCTGTATTAAACAGAATTCTATACTCACGAAAAAAATGTAGATAAATATTTGATTATTTAACTTTAATTTATTCACGGGTCCGTTGACAAGAACGGAAAATAAAAATATATTTTTTTAAATTTATCCGAGGAAATAATGTAAAAAATGAAAACTTTCGATCGATTTGACTCTGAAAGATTTCACTCGTGTGATTTATCTATCAAATGCTCGTAAGCAACGAAGTTTAGTAAAATATATAACAACTTAAATTGCAACTTACAAATCTTTTTGATGTTGAAAAAATTAGGGTTGTCTAGGGTTGTGTCAAATTTGACAAAAGTAAAATTATATAAAAATTGAAATATTGTGTACAGATATTTTTTACAAAGATTAAATCTATTTTCTAAACATTCTTAACCGAAATACAAGTCGGTACTTAATATTTATTAAGTAGGACGCCATTTTTATTTTTGATCCATAAATAGTGACACATTTTAATATTTAGCAACATAATTAATTAATTAAATTAATTGTTTTATGGAATAAATTCTCGATACACATTATATATTCTTCATAGTATCTTTTAAAATAGAATGTCAAACCATAAAATAATCCAAATGAAAATCTAATCCTATGTTTAGCATCTTAAACCCCAATCTAAATGCAAAATCTTAAAACAGCTATATTTGTGTCCGCCTCCTATTTAGAGGGTTTATATTCAACTTAATCTAGATCAAGTGTATATGAGCTTTTTTTCATTACGAGTATACTTCAGACGTTAAAAAAACCATAACCGCCATAAAATAACAACAAAAAATAATGGGACATTATATATATCTAATATATTTTCTCTGTATAATGAAAAATCTTGATATTCTTAGGTCGTTGTTTACTGTTAAAACGCATATGATAATATGTGAATAATATAAGTGAGCTCATCCTAATTATAAAATTATAGTTTTATTTTTTCAATCTTATTCAATCGTAATTGGTTATCGCTATTAATATTAACTAATTATTAAACCGTGAAAATACTATTTCGACTATTTACGCAGTTCCAATGTAAACATTGAGCTCATTCATATGCGTGAGCATGGCTTGCAGCAAACTGTATCATTTGACTTCGCAGACATAATATTATACGGTCCTGCTATAATATAAGACTAAAACACTGAAATCTAGACGTTTTGGTTCAGTAAAAGTAATTAATTAGAAATAATTAATCAGCTCCACGACTGTTGCTCACTACAACGTGTACGTTTAATTGTTGGTTAGATTACACAAAAAGTGTATGCACGCGAAACACTCCGTGGTGAAACGAACACTTCGGAACCGGAGGCAAATTGTGTTCGTTTAATTTTTATGTTGTACGCGACTGGTTCGAGGAAAAATAATTTTTTTCAATCTCATCTATGCTCGTGAAAACCATCTTAGCCCCCTCCTCATCCCCATCGTATTGATATCGGATGCAGTCGATGTTCGCGAACAAGTATAATCAAAAACCGCAGGTCTGAAACGTACGGTTTGAGTTTATCCCTGTAGCAAAAGCGCGAGCACCGCCATCACCTCGCTTGGCAACTTTTCGACCGCGACCGCAGTCAACCCTCAAAACGTCCCGTGTTCGCAGCAGTGCATCTCGCGTTAAAACGGTACGAAAACCGGGTGAGCCCGTTACGTGGGTGGAAATCCGTTGGGACCACGCACGTCCGCCCGTAACACGTCGACACGCTCCAGGATTAAAGGACTAAGGATTAACGCTGGAACCGGAAGCGTTAGTGCGTGCGACTAGAGCGGGTCCGCTGTGTATAGCGGTATTAAAACCTGTGGTTAAAACCCTGTGGCGGCGGGAGAAAGGTATACGAAATACGGTGAATACATCTAGCCGAACATCGAACTCGCACCATAAGGTTGCACGACTTCCATCGACGCCTGTACTTTCCATAGAATGCCCCGAGCCGCGGACATTTTTGGTGATCAAAATCTATTCCAGACCCGTTGGCTGGTTGGTTTCGGGGTGCGACGGTCCCTCAGACTCGCGTCCTCGTCATTACGTGACCCAGGCGGCCCGTGGCGTCTCACGTCCGTCTCGGATTGCTCGCCCTGTCCCGCGGCCAATTACGGTGACGGTGAGTGTCCGAGCTGTGATTGTGAATCCTGGACTCAGGGCCGTATTGAGGTCTGGTGGCGCCCCTGGAAAATCGTCGAGACGATCGGATCGTTAGCGCACGCGGAATGGTGTCCATTCGCAATCGTGTGCGGACTTGCGACCGGCCACGATAAGCGTGTCGTGGGCACGTATAGGAACGACGGTACGCGTCCGAGAGGCCGAAATTTAAACGATTTCCGCAACGAACGGTTTGTCAAATCCTCGGGAGCGAATTTCGTTTTTTTTTTTCGGGAGGCGGTGAAACTAGGGAAATTCCTGACGAAAATTAGAATTTTATCGCATTTATATATTATAATAATATTATAAGAATTTCAAATATTTTAAAAATATATGATAAGCAATTTTTTTTTTACCGTGTAGGAATTAACACATCACATTTGTAGGAACTAACTTACTCGTGTGTAATTGTTTACCTGCTACTCTCTTGTAAAAACTTACTATTCCCCTGTTTACCTAAACTGTGACGTAAACGAAAATGCGATTACGAACGATATCTACCCGCATTAAAAAAGAGTAAAACTTTTTATCGTAAATTGAATAGGAACACTATGGCAAATTATCATATTTGATGAGATCTAATAATATTAACACTTTGTTTATTATTTGTTCTCAATCAGATAAAAAAAAATATATTTATTAAAATTGAAACCCCATCACCCTCCGTTCGAAAATGTTGACTACGCCACTAAAATTCAATAAGTATAATTGGATCTACGTAGTTAAATGTAATTTTTCTTTTTTTTTTTTAGTTTAAAAAGTTCAACTTTACGTAATATATATATATTTATAAAATTCATTTCGATGCCTATTAAGTGTTTATGAGAAATGCACCCGGGTCTTTGTGACCTACACATAATGTCAACGGGAAAAAATAAATGTACTTTTTGAGCCTATATAATGTGGAATCTGTTTCGGATTTTATTTCCCCGCCATTACCCGCCTCGTACGAAATATTACACGACGATAACATATAAAGAACACGCGCGCAGCTCATGCTAACTTACGCCTCGTGCTCTTGACGCGTGTATTACACTGAATTTTACAGTTTTCCAGAAAAATGATAACCTGCAAGTGGCCTACACACGAAAAGAGTGCATAGAATATAATATTATCCCGTACGTATATACGTTATTAAAGTATAATATTAGAGGTTATCCCATTAAAACCATCGATCTACCAATAAACCGCCGCCATCAAAACTATACCCACGTCATACCTTTTATACGACTTACATCGCATAATTTTACGTCTAGACCCCTCTGAGATTTAGCCTGTGCTACCGCACACATGCTGCGTATGAAGGCCACTCGAGGAACGAAACGACGCTAATAATGTATTTCACGTGACGACAAGATAAATATTCTTAAAAGTGATAAACATATTTCACTGTCATTCACTAACTATTAAATCACTAACCATTATTTTCTCTTATATATTTTTAAACGCTATGTCAGTTGATAGTTTTTTTTTCTTTTTTCCGAGTCAATATCGTGTTGATTTCAATGACTTGCAATATTTGTATTCATCGTATAGAAAACTATAAATATCGTAGATGTACAAAATAATATTAACCTTTTCGTGTGTTCGTGTCTAACCGAATAAACGTATCAATAACGTACCATGGTTTATTGATTATTATTACGTATACATGACCAGTTACTGTCACTGTCTCGGTTTAATACCGACTTTTAATCGAGACTGAGACCGATTCAGACCCTTATAATTTCTTATTCTGACATTTTTACTCGAGTTATACCATAAATAAACTATTATATGAACGAAAACAGAAATGTATATAGTGAGATTGAAACGACGTTTACTACTTTTAGTAAATCCTTTTCCGGGTCGGGTATATAATTGCTTCGGAATGTGTTATACAAATCGCGAAAAACACGTGCTCATCTGTTACTAATTCAATTGATTGAATTGTCGTGGTTTATAAAATAACAACATACTTTTATTTATTTTTGACTATTTAAGTATTTAATAGACATACTTGTTATAAAATTCAATTGAATTTTGTTACCAATTTTAAACGAATGGATAGTATATGACCAAAAATTCTTATTTTTGTAGTTTTTAATTTTACTTTTAACTAAAATAACCCCAAAATATACATTTCAATGAAATTGATCATCTACATTTTTTTTTCAATAAAGTCACACAGTTCTGAAATCACCTCTTCTAAAATATAAAAATATTGATTATGACTTTAATTATAATCAAGTCGATTAATTATATAACTTAAACTCTTCATTTTTATCACAATATTATCGTAAATATTTTTATTAATTTTTCATCGGTAGGAAGTATTATTTGTATTTCGATTTAAAAAATAATTTCGAATTGTTATTTAAAAAAAAAAAAAATACCTCAAAACCATAAAAATGATATATCTCGTTAGACTTATTTTAAAGTTCGTTTCATTATACAACAAAAGATTATACCTACTTACATATAAAAAGAAAAATATTTAAAATTCTTATTTTTATTTTTTTATAGGTAGAGTTCGTCGACATGCATTATGGCAGCGAATCGGATCCAATCAAAAATCCTTTTTTGTTTGCGGAACATTTAGAAGAAATAAAAAATTGTCGAGCTGTTTCCCGAGGATGTTTCTTTTTGGTAAGTGTTACAAATTATAGCAATTATAACATTTAAGTAATTACAAATCTTATGAACTAAAAATACTGTATTATTTATCCAAATATCCGACCCACTCATTTCAAAATTTATTTAAGAATTTTGCACACAAAATCCTTTTAGCAATGAACTCTTCAACTCCTAAAGAGCTATTATAATATATTATAGTGAACTAAAAGTTTACGTAGAAGAAAAATGTAAATGGTCTGTTCGCTTAGCCATGGGCGTTTTTTATTTTTTAGTATTCCTTGGTCATTTATTTTTCCTTCTCGTCCTTCTGTGGTTTTCATAATCCTTCAGTTGGATTTGCATAAAAAATAGTTTGGAGTTTGATACCTTTAAAACTAGTAACTTAAGTCACGTAAAATACATACAAAGAGATTTCGATTTTCTTACATAAGACCTGAAATGACAATGACGGCAGCAATAACATTGCGTTATAATTATTTTTTCAAAAGCAAATATAATTATTTTTTGTACTTACCTATTGGCGTAAAAAGTTTTATGTTATTTTTATTTCAAAATGTTGTAATAAAAAAAAAAAAAACAGATTAAAAATAAAAGAAAATGTATAAAATTCTTTGAATGAAAAATATGCACGAAAAGTCTTGTGAAACACGTACTATTCCAATATATACTGAAATGATACCACAGAATAGATTAAAATGGAATGAAAACTAATAAGAAAACACACGGCCACTTATGACCATCCAAAAATACGATTCGCCATATTGAAACGGCTTATCAGTGTAGATATAAAATTTAATATGAAATACTTAAATACAATAAATACACTGGTATACAATATTTATTAATTATATTATACATTATGTCATATCATATCATTGATCTTTAATGAAAAAGATTATACTTTTCAACATAAATCAAAAAAATTATATTTAAAATAGTATTAAATTCTAACTTGTTCATTCAAATAATTAATAAATAATAATTTCTTCTAAAAATACCAAAATTAATATTGTTGAAAATAGTATACCAATTATAATTTCTGTTATTCTGTAATATTTAGAAAATAATATCATATAACTAATTAAAACTACTGGAGCAATTAAATCAATTATCTTCATCTTTTTTTATTTTTTTACATTACTTAAAAATATAAAGAAAGTAAATATTTTTTTCTAGAAATAAATTTATTTAAAAGGGGATTGTTAAATTTGGTCTGACTACAAATTATGCAACAACAAACATTGATCAACATTATATTTAAATGTATAATCTGCATAATACGTAGATTTGACTATTTAAATATTTAAGGTGTATATATATATTGTTTTTCTTTATTATAAATTTTTATAATTTATACTACAAAAAATAATTAAATAATTGTATTTTTTTATCAAACTCAGTTTATAAATGTAACAAAAAATTACTTCCAGATGATAATAATAATATAAACAAAATACATTATTTACCAAAGAGATTAATTTTAAAAAGAATAAGTAAATAACATAAATATCATTTTATAAACTAATAAGCCCACTGTTGAGATCTTCTAAAATAACGAAAAAAGTAAATAAATAACATGACTCTTAGTTATATAATAATTATTTTTAAATGTTATTGAAAAGTAAATAAATGCTCATTACATACATATAAATAATAATAATAAAAACAATTAAAATATAATAGACGGTCTGCTTTTGATTACGAGCAAAATTAATTCAATCCTGACAAAGAAGTTTTTCTAAATACTTTTCGTGATATAACCACACCCATATGATGTAAATATGTTCCTCTCAGGTAAATTTAAACTTTTATAATCATGGTTTATTGATAAAAATCTTGATGAACAGAGTTTCTTCTAAATAATACCAAAATAATATAACAATTTTTTTCACCCATCTGGGAAACCTGTCAAACCCTTTCAAGATGGCGGACTAAATTTTGGACGACCAAGTTTTCATTCTATTTTAATCTATTCTGTGATATACTTGCAATAATAACAACTCGCTTATAATGAAAGTTGCATCAACTTAGACTTAAAGAAAATGCACGTATTGTATCGAATTCATATCATTTACAACATTTCAACGTGAACAATATAGTTACATCGATTATATTATTTGTTTACCTTTTGTGTTGAAGAATGTTTCGGGATGCTGTAAAGTGATTGCAAAAATATGCTTGGTGTATTGCAAAAGAACCCCAACGTTTGCCCATTTATAAACTTCAATATATTGTTGGAAACTCTTAAATTCAATACCCAGTGAACATTAAGAAACCCTTGGTTTTATATTGAGAACATTATATAAGAAAACATTTCACTATTAAAGAACAATTTAATTTCATCGATAATTAATTAAATGTGTATGGTATTGTGAAAGCAATAAGTCCATTACGGACAATCGGTTATTATTATCTTTGATCATTACATAATATTTTTTCTATCGGAACTTCTAAGTTTTTGTAAAATATGTAATACTGCAACGAACAACAAACTATACATACTAAGCATACTAAATAACTAAATCATGTAAATTTCACAAATTGATGAAATTCCAATTTAAGTACACCTAATTTGCAGTGAATTACATTATTATAATTAATTAACAATTATAGTTTGTTTAATTTCGCCTATAATCAGGTCGTTAAATCAATAAAAAGTAAGATTCTTTTGAACTTTCAATATAAATTCCCGATTTTAATCTAACATGAAATATAAATTTAATGTATAAACTAAATGTATTTCATAATTTTAGTATGATTTATTATTTTTATTGCTATTATTAATAGTACCTAGTAATTAGCTAAAAAAAAAATGTAGTATTGTCTCAGAATATGACATAAAAAATATTTAATCCGGTTCGTAATTAATTTAATTGATCTGAAGTCTGACCCTCTATTTATATTTATTTTTACTTATTAATGTAATTGAAAGATTTAGGAGTATCGTTATAATGCCAATTTCAAGAAATATTATGATGATCTGTTATCAAATAAAATGTATTAGTAGTTAAATGTTTTTTTCATTCACTTATACTATAAACAAAGTTTTATTAATTCACAGACTGGCTTATTTTTTACTTATTTTCTCGGCCTATTTAAATGTTTTCAATAAAACTATTTTTCTGTACTTAACTATACAATTTAACACAAAATAATTGTTCATAGAAAAAATTTCATAATTTAGTATTTTGTACCATATTTATGTATATAATGTTATAGTTTTCACTTTTTTTAATGATATAATATACTATTTATCTTATATACTGAAGTAAAATATTTTCGTAAGAATTTCAATGGATACATAAAAACCTGATGTCAATCTAAATTTTTACTGTTCATAAGTATTTACAATTTAGATCAGCTAATTAGAGTGAATGTATTATTAAATGTTAAGGTACATATTTTCTTATCTAAAGTTTAAATTTTAAACTTTAAGCAATTATAAATTATTAACTAGACTCGTATTATTATTTCTAAAGAAATACACTTATACTAACTTACTTACTATACTTACTTATACTAACTTATTGATAAAAAAATTGTTTTAAGTTTAAAAAGTCACCTTATTTTTCAACAAATATTTTTTTCCAATTATCTCAAAGTTTCTTCTTGCTTAATGAATGCCTTCTACTGTTATTTCTGAAACACCCTCTAGTTAAATTCGTTAAATTTCTATTCACTGACTTATTATCTCTTTCACATCATTCTAACTTATTCTTTGGCCATCAAACGATACTATTATCATAATCATTTTGATAGCCATTTTATTACATCTATTTCAAATATTCTCATCTATAAATAACCTTATACACGTAAACTTAATACAAAATGTCACAAGGAATTCTTATTAATTTTTCATTACATTATCATCACTTTTGGATTCGAAGTAAATACGTTTGTTCTTTAAATGGTTGTAAATAAATCACTTAATTTAACACACAAGTATTTTAAAACGTCTTTTAGTCTATGATATACATTTAGGTTTCTTTGAACACACAAGTGTATTCAAGTAGGGTTTATAAGGGCTGTTCTCTGTGACTTTTAACCCCTCTTCATCATTGTAATCATTTAAAATTATAAACGAGTCTCTTGAATTTACTTGCATAAACATATTTTCTTTATAACTCCCAATTTATTTTAAAGCTTATGCTTTATTTATTTAAATAACTAGTAGTTACCAGTTAAAAACTCAATTTTTATCTCAGTTTTTTGTTACAAAATGTATTTTTGTGTTCCAATCTTTTATAATGGTATGTTCATTCGTATATTATACTTATATGAAATTATGACCATAAATGGATAGGTACTATATAATGATAATTATAATATTAGATATCCCGGGTATATTATTTAACTATTATTTTCTCTATTGTTTTGGAATTTGAATAATGAGAAAGTTATTCTGATAGATGTTGAGGACATGTATAATGGAAAAGGATCATGTATTGAAAAATCATGTATTCGAATAACGTATATTCGAAAAAACATTTAACCTTTTTAATTAATGGAAAAATTAAATAAACTACACAACAGTATTATAGAAATAATAAAAATACAAAAATATATCATAACTGATTACGGAATACGTTAGGTTGATGTAACTGAGCGAACTGAAACAACACACAAAAATACATTTACAACATTAGAGCGTAAATTATATGAGCACATAATATCAATTAAAATATAGTATATAGTATACAATGTACAGATTACCTATGTACCAATGTACCTATTTCATATCTGCAAATTATTTCGTAAATACGAATATGTACAGTTTACATATACGTGACGTATGGGTTTAAGATATTTCGTTCAAAATCAATTTTTACGAAAAGAAATCTTACCAAATGAATATTTTAACGAACGAAAAATACAATTTATCATTTGAAAAAACAAAAAAATAAATAGCAAATTTAAAATTAAAAAACAAAATCAATATTCTATGCCAAACATTTTTAGTAACTTCATTTGAAAAGTTTTCCACCTTTTTTTACATAGTTTTCTCATGTTGACTTCCATTTTGGTTAACTTATTGATTGTTCCCGTGATAACCGATATTCATTGTAACGAAAAACTCAAAATATTTTTATTTGTACAAATTATATTTAAACAAATTGCACATAATAGTCAATTTGTCTAAAATTCTATTATTTTATGATTTTTATTTAATTTTTATAGTAAAACAGACTTATACACTATCTCCAATGTTCATAGTTAAAATTAATTTCAAACCCATTATTGTTTAATTTCAAAAATGTGTTTTTATTAATTTGATTACTATACAATTCACATAAAAGTATTAACCCCATTCTCTAATATGTCCAATTCAAAATATTCGTTCGGTAAAATGACCTTTTCCTGAATAGGTTTTTCCTAAATGGTCGGATACTGTTTTTTTCTAATTTATTTTTAAAAATGAATATCATTATCTGTATAATGGATTGTAAATCGTGTTCACTAATAGAAGACTGTTATCTTACACCATTTAGATAACTCTGTACGTGTTATGTTATATTTTATAGTAATTTTTTAACTTTCATTACACACAAAATGTTTTTATCTAAATAAAATCTTTAATAAAAATTAGTTTTATTTCAACTTTCGGAAAAAATATTTTACTATAGGACACATTAAATATGTATTTGTAATTATTAATTATTAATTAAAAACGTATAGGAAGAAAGCAAATTTTAATTTTTTGTTGAACGCTGACCGAATTTAGTTTATAATTTAAATGATTTAATTAAACTTTTCACCGGGAACAAAACTCTTTCGACCGTTTGAAACGGGAAAACGTTCCTCTTATTCGTCGCTGCAGGTGCACAATACACAATATCATTACAAGTTTGAGTGACGCGTTCGTGATCAATAATCGCTCGAGCGTTTTGGATAGGTCGGTTAGTGTAACGCACGAGCGATCGAAAAACTTTAGGTACCGTTAAACTGACGTTTCGTCCTCCTCGACGACTGGGTATTTGTTTGATTTTTTTTGTAATTTGAATTTTTATTTTTCTCAAGTGCTTGGTGGGCGACGAACATCAACCGTGCCCGGCGCCCGTGCGCATAGCGGAGGACGCGTACGAGCAGCTGAAAGACGCGGCGCAGGAGCTGAACTTGGAGTGGTCGGCCGTGGAGAATGCTTACCAACTGGACCCGTTGAACAACCACTATTCGCTGGCGAAACCGTAAGTACCGTACCGTACTCTTCGGCGCTTTTTTTTTTTTTTCATTTCTGTCTTATATTTCATTATTTTTTTTTTCTCTCTCTCTTTTCATTCGCCCTCGCGCGACCGTCTAGGGAAAACGGAGAGAGAAAGAGAAAAAAACCCACCGAACAAAGTCTCCGCGTACCGTTCCGCGCGCGCGTACAACATTATCGCGTAATCCTGCGGCAGCCGGTGAGCTAAAGGAAAAATAAATAACAAGAAAAAAAGAGAAAAAAGGCGCACCGCGAAACCTATGCGCGCGCGTGTCACCTGCACGTCATCCGCCGCGCGACAGCGTCGTAATTCAATATACGCCCACCACCGCCCGAACGACTGCGCGTACGTGTACGAGACGGTGTCATTGTTTCTGTTCGTATTCACGCGACAACGACGCGTTATTTCTCTTCCGTTGTCCGCGACCGACCGCCACTGCGACTGCGACCCGGTCGGACGACGACGGGAGAGAAAAATCTCGGAAGTCCCGTGGTATCGCCGGCGATCCGACCCCCACTCTATTAAGGCTACGGCTACGTTGGACCCGTTTCTGATCCGATCCGACTCGATCCGTCAGTCCGACTAATCGGAAGAAAAACAAATAAACCCGTTTTGAGACCGACGTATCCGACTTGTCGATACGTCGGAAACGGACGAAACGTATAAATATACCTATAATGTACTAGTGATGGAAAAAATCCGGATTTTTTTGAAGTTCTAAATCCGGATTTTACTGTAAACCCGGATTTCGGATTTGAAAACTTTGATTGAATATTTTTTCAAGAACTATTTATAGTAAATAAAAAATAATTAAACATTCTCAATGTTAAATGATATTTTGGCCTAAATTAATTAAGAATCTCATAAACACGTTTTTGTGTAATATTAAATAATATAAGTCGGATATCATAAAATAAATTTTAATTATTATTAGTTGTATCTCCAAAAATAATGGTACGTAAGACTTGAAGTGTTTACCAATTATTAAGATATCTTATTTAGACCACCATCATCTTGTCCGAGAATTAAAATAACCACTAAAAATGGTTTAATGATAGTTATATGATTAGAATACATAAATTTGTCGTAATAAACCCAAATCTAAGATTTTTAAATTAAAAAATCCGAAATTCGGATTTGACAGGTTTTCGAAGAATCCGGATTTGATTCACATCACTATTTTGTACACTGTTTTGTTTTTCTTCCGATTAGTCGGATTGTCGGATCGGAAACGGGTCCAAAATAGAGCCGTGCCTATTAACGGCACCGTTTTGTTCCGATCGGATTTTTATCCGACGACGTCGTGCGTACAAAAACAACTGTTTACGCCAGTGGTGCCCGCGTAAGTATTCAATGTGACCCGTTACAATTTTTTTAAAACTAACTATTTATTATAATAATTTATATTAAATTGCACAGAATAACCCGTGAATTTAAAAGAGTGTACTGATCAGATGAATGTGTACATGTAGCGTGTACCTCAAATCTTTTCAATAGTCAATAAAATATTTGAAAACAAATTCAATATGTTTTATATTGTACACAATGTTTAACTAGGTATTGAAAATAATTTTCGGTATTATGTATTTGATTTCAATACCGGTTTATAACGGTATACCGAAACCCGAAATTATTCGGCGTACTAAAAATACAAAACGATAAATAATATTTACCAAATACCAATATATTTCACTTAAATGTCATTTCACTAATAAACAATTAGATTTACGAGTGACTAGTGAAAAAAAAAGTGGATTTTTTATAGCCTTATAGCTTTTTAACGATAAAGACCAAAATACCCGATACTAAAATCGTATATAATTCTATAAATAGGAAAATGCATCGTTTATACGGTTTACGGTTTTAACGGTATACCGCTTACGCGGTATTTCACGGTGTACCGTAAATGACGGTTTTTTACGGCATATCGTATATCATAATAATTTCATAATACCGGTATACCGATACTTACGGTACACCGAAAATACCGTCAGCCCTGCGTGTATTATAAAAACGTAATTAGATCGATATTTATGTAATTCGTACTTTTATATTAGGTGGCCGGCTCTCAGCTAATTGTTTACGCCAAAATGTCCCGCCAAGGAAAAAAGGTTGGACATCACTGGGTTTATTCGATCCGAACCGAACACGTGTGGGGGGGAGGGCTATGCTTTTAACAACCTGAATCGCGTCCGGAGGAAAACGCGAACGTCTGATAGGGGCATGACAATGTTTATCGTCTCACACATTGTTTACGTAATACCGTAACGGTTATGAGTGAAAAGCTTTTCTTGGCGGATTCTTCGAAGACGCACGACCCCCGTCCACCACCTCAGTGCGCAAATGTACGACGCTCGTGTACGCGATTGTTGTTTTGCACGCGAAATCTCGTAACAAGAACATTATACATGTCTAAATGAACAATTTAATTCACTTTAATTAAACGATTCGAAAAACATTATTATTATTTTTTTTTATTTTTTTTTAGCGTGAAATTAAATTGTTTTGATACTCGTATAAATTTGTATTTAATCTACCTGTTCTGTTATGCTGTCACTCAAAAAGTAACTGTTTGAATTAAATTATAAAGGGAAATGTTTTTAACATGCTTATTTCATTATTTTATTTATTTTTTTTTTCGGTTTTTTGTACGTAACTGAAATATATACAAACATTGTAAAAAAATATTTAAATAAGGGGTAAATTTCCTAGACCGGGTGAAATACAGTGATAGGTGAATAATATTGCCGTGTTAATATTTTAAATTTAAAACTAATGTACCATTGCTCTCGGGAATATGAAAATAGTTCTCAATGAAACAGGTCAGATGGATCAGTTTATATTTTTAAACATTATCGATATCAGTGAAAAACATTTAATACAAAATGCATTCGAAATTATAAATATTTCAAAACATAAATATATAGTTTATGAGTTACTATATTTTATCTTCAATTTTATCGTGAACATTAGTCCGACCAAAAAAATTTCATATTTAAGATGTTAAGAAGTTGAGAAGTTCACGTGTAAAAAATTCACAATCTTGAATTCTTCTGATATTTTTTACAGATAAAAATATTGAAACTAATCTAATTATAAAAATAATAGTTATACTACATAATAATTACCAACTTATCGTGGCTTCAATAATTAAAAATTGTAATTTACATTATTTACTTTGGAAAAAGTGTGTGTCATATTTAACTACTAGTTTTTCTAATGTAAAAACCATCAAATAATCATTTTTAGCTCAACAATTCCATTTTAATTTTATATTTTTTACATTAATTTACCCTTTTTTTCCACTCAAATAAAGAACTAACCTAATTCCTTGGATACAAAGGTGAATTAATTTATTTCTATGTTCAGAAGATAGAAGTGCTCTGCAACTTTGTTTATTTTGCAATTAGACAACGTTCGACTGTCGAGAAAGATTGCGTAGACGTAATCCAAAAGCAAATAGAAGGGGGTTTATTTTGCCGTTGGCTGTCATCGGTTATAATCCTTTCGACAAAGTCACTTCCCGTAAGTCCGTTACAATGTTTTTTCACCGTTGCTTAATTTTCGAATAGCGTTATATTTGTGAACCGACTTCTCTGCCGGTACCGAGCAAACGTGTAACATCGAGATCAAATCTACGTTCAAAAGACATAAATCAAATCCGTTCTTCGACCCTCCCCCCCGACCACCACCTCATCAACTCAACACACGCAACGTTGTAAATATCCAACAGAACGAGTGACTTATCGTGGTAATAGAGTTTTGACTGGATCCGGGTATAATATGAAAAATGAAACAGATCCGTGCAGGTGTCTATGCTTTTATACGGGCTTTTTCAAAGCAAAGGTACAATCCATCGCTGTCTAATAACAAAACATTTTTTTTTTCCTTTTAACGAAACCTAATACTGTAATAAATTTAAATGTGTGTGTGTATCCATTTCGTTTTACTCAAATAAGACGGATCTGGTACAAAATCTGTACACTATTTTTGGCCATTATCCCATTTTTATAAAAAGAGAAATAAAAATATCCCTTTTTATTTTCATCACTTATTTTTATTATATTATCATATTATACTTATATGATACATATTAAAAATATTATAGTTAACGTACCTTTATCACTAGTATACTACTATAAACATTTATCGCACGTTGCAGTGCATGTTGAAGGCAACATTTATAATTGTAATACATGAAAATGCATAGTCTGCACAGAAAAAATAATTTTGATATTTTGATATAGTAGATGGTTAAAAATATTATAGTGTACACTAATATATTTTTGAAATTTTCACATTTGTACACCGAAAATTTCTTATATAAAAATCAACAAAACAACTTAACCAATAAATTATGAAATATCAGTTAGTCATACCTAATAATTCAATTAGAAACTGATTCATGAAAAAATATTTAATGTTATAACTTAATTTCTATTTATTTATTTTTTTCAATTAATAGTATTAACAGTATATATTTTGGTCACAAAGAAGACATTTTCAAATTAATGTTTTTATTATTTTTTTTTGTTATTACATTAAACAATTCCTAACTTTTGCTATAAACATATTTTTTTTTGTAATATGATATTTGGTATATATGTTACTAGTCATAATTGTTTAGTTCACAGTTATAATATACATATTTACAATTTATAGATATTACAGTTTTCCAGTTTTTTCATTTCCTTCCAATGTTTTTATCTATTGAATAAGCACGAAACTTTGGAATTATTTAGTTATTATTTATTTATTTTTATTTTTTTATTTTTTTTTATTATTATAATATTTTATACTTTAATCACGTTAAAACTGTTTCATATACTATCAATATAAGGTTCTGAACGAAGCAAAAAAGGTACTTGGTTTTACATAATAATAGCGGTTTCTAACAAAAAATACAATTTGATGCAATAAAAAAGCTCAAAAAGTTTCGTGAAATGCATTTATCGATTATAAATTCATTACAGTTTTAACTTTTACAGTTTTTCACTAGTTTGGTCTTAAAAATAGCAAGACAATGGTATATTAATAATAAAAACAATTTTCTATTTAACAAAATTATAACTATTATTATGTAAACCGAGCTCTGAACAAAACAATTTTTCGAATACGATAATAGTAAATAATTTAAATTTAATATTATAATAAAATACCAATTTACTACACCAAAGTAAAACAAAAATTCTTAAGAATTTATGACAATCATTTATAATATGCGATCCTTTTTGATTAAGCTTTATAAAAAAAAATACATCTGTGTTTGAGTAACTTTTAGATTTTAATTTAATTTAAATTTATAGTTTTGGATTGTGTCCTATAATTTATAATGAATAAGTTTTTTTATTTTTTGAACTTTTAATCTTTTTTTACACAATCTGTTGCAAATGGAACAATAATAATAATTTTTTAACATTAGTTTAGATTAGCTATTTAAATAATAATAATAATATTAATAATAATAAAGAAACATGTGGTAAGAATAATTATTACAACTGTGGTATTTACAATTTCTTTTTTTTTTTTTTTTTATTGAGTTAGTAGGTCCCGACACCACCATCTTATAATGTATAAGTAGGTACTTGTATTATATGCATTTCTTCAACATTTATAATCTTATCATATATTTTTATATGAGCACGTGAAGTTTTCAAAACATTTTGTAAATATTAAAGTAACCTAAACGTGATTCCGATTAATTTTCTAAACTCAATGATTTATCACTTTTCAAATCTAAAGTCATATGATATTATAAAATGTTATACTCCAATAAGTAATTGCACAACACACATTCTATCGATATTATTTTTTTTTTTTTATTATACCCATTATTTGACCATCAATGACATCATAAGAGTAGTATGCATATTATTTATTGTTTACCAACCAAAAAAATATTGAAAAACGATGAAACATGATATTATTATAACTGTAGATACCTAAAAGAAGACTTCAAATGTATTAATACTGAATAAAAAGTCAAAACGTGACGGAATCAAACGTTTCTCCAATATTAAAATTGAAAAACTGAATATTTAAAGTGATTAAAAAATATATTGTTATGACTAAATTCGAAAAGTTTACATTTAATATTCTAATGAAAATAATAACCATAAAATCTATTATGTAAGTTTATGCTAATAATTTCAAAAAGTGTATCGAATGTTTTATTAATCCTAGATAATATAATATATGCATAATATATTAACTAAAGCAGTTCAATATACGACAGTACAACATAATAACATAATTATGTTTTATTTGCTTACTTATATGACTAACTCTTCGTATTACGTGAGTTCTAAATAAAACAAAAATAACCAAACTAATTTTTATAAAAAAAAAATAATAATAATCTGCTGTGTATGCATAGTTTGGTATTTTTATTTCTTTCGTCAAATTTATAATTAAGTTATTTGTAGTAACGTTACACTTCTGATAAATGTAGTTCAGTATTAATATATTATGTATGTTATTAAAACTTTGAATCCAACAAGTTATCTAACTCGTTATAAGAGCATAAAACTGTAAATATAAAAACTTTAAATTTAGCATTAAAACTAACGATGTTCTGAATTAACTTTTAAAAGAGAATATATTGAGCGGTAACTTGTTTTATCGTGCATATCCGTCCAATAATAAACCGTCCAGATCAGTAAGAAAAAAATGAAAACTTGACTTGTTGGTCTTAATTAGAAATGAACTTTAACATCGTCACCGCACGATAATGATCAATATAAGGAGAAAATAGGAACCTGGCTTTCACGACGATTATTCAATAAACACGGGACTGGTAAATTATCTTTTAAGACCGAGTATAAGTTTAGATGACACCCATTCATAATACATTCTCTTTGTGTATCACTGGAACAATATTCATATCAATTACACAAAGTCTTGTGTACACTAGAAAAAAAACATATGATTCAAATAATTTATATTATGTCACCCGTATCAATATACAACCTTAAAGTGTCATGAAATAACATAATCATCTTAAATTGTTAATATTCAATACGAAGTTTTAATATCAAGTTAGTGCAGTCGTTACGTTTGCGGTAAATCGTAATGTTTCGCAGCGCTGCCAGGATACACTCGCCCGACGTGACCGTTTCCGCGTGTAAATTAATATTGCATGCCCATTCTATCCTTTCAGAGACGACAAGGATCAGGAAAAGTTGCGGCTTTGGTTTGAAAACCATGACAAAGCGTTAGCGGTCATGCAAGAAGCTTCGCAAGAGCTGTTGAGCAGAGGTCTAATTGTCGACCCTCAGATATTTCATTCGGCCGTTCAGCACCAGACACTGCACGCTTTGGGTGAGCTACGACATGGGCTTAACGGGGGGAGGGGCGGGGCAACGATTGAAACGTTAAGACGCGTCCGTTTGGTTTCAGACTTGAACAAGGATCACACGGTGGTGTACAGCAGAGAGTTCACTGGGCGGCACGACTATGGGTGCGGTGCCGACGAGACGATCGCGTCGTTCAAACACTTCCTGAAGGACACGGTGTCGCCGGACAACCTGATCGAACTGAGGTCGGTAGCGTTTTAATTGTATTCGGTACGATTTAGTATCGGTTTTAATGGAATAAAAACGCAGCGTGGAATGGAAACCGGGCGGCGTGGACGGCGAACATCCCGAGCACGACATGTACCTGACCATATTCCAGGAGGCGGTCGTGTCCAAGATGCAGTGCATGATCAACGCGAGCATCGAGCAGCGGCCCGAGCTGAACGCCCGGAACAAGACGGTGCAGGAGGTGCTGAAGGAGGCGATCGTGCACATCGCGCACTGCAGGGACCTGATCGCGCTCAGCCCGCCGGACCCACGGCTGGCCGGGCCGGTGGACAAGATCCGAACGATGATGACGACGGCGGCGGCGACCGGCCGACACGGGCCGATCGTGGTGCGCGGCGGCCTGGGCTCGGGCAAGACGTCCATCGTGACCGCCGTCTACCAGCAGTGCGAGAAATGGTTCGACCGGCGGCCGATGCGCGTGGTCCGGTTCTCGGGCGTCACGCCCCGGGCCTCGTACAACCTAGAACTGTTGCGCGTCATCTGCGAACAGCTGTCGTACGCGCTCCAGCCGAACGGGCTGTGCGTGCCGCTAGACGCGTCGTTCGACCCGCTCTACGTCAGCGACTGGTTCCAGACGCTGCTCAAGCGTTTCGAGGACGAGTGCCGGTCGTCCACGCTGGTCCTTTTCATCGACGACCTGCATCGGTTGAACCCGCTGGACTCAGACATCGTGGCCGGCCTCTCGTGGTTGCCCACTGTGCTGCCGGCCAACGTGCACATCTTGTGCACCACCCTGTACGTTCCGGACGAACTGAAGATGACGCCGCTGCAGAAAGACCGCTTCATGAACTCTGAGTTTTACATGGAACTACCGGACGCCGACATAGGTAACGATGATCGTCATCATGGGAAAAATTTTTAAAAAAAACCCTCTCTTCGAGAGTACATTTTTCTTCGTCGGTAGAAACCGAGTACGTATGTAAACGCGTGTTTTTCCAAAGGAACAATCCTTAGTGAATTTCACAGAAACCAAAACGTTCACGTAAGTTTGTTAACGTTTCTTACGATATCGAAATTAATTAAATCATTAATGGACGATGAACGTTTTCTCTTGTCTGTATCTGTACATTATTTACGATCTAAAAACGAATGAGAAAAAATATCTGCTTTTTTTTTTATTAATCCGTTTTCGTTTTGAACATTATTCTTTAGAATTTTTACAGAACGTAAAATTTCCTCTTTGAAATAACCATTTTTTTTTTTTTTTTCTTACGTTTATTTTATGTTAAAGATACAATTTCGGAATAAATTGTGTTTTTAATACTATACTTTGTTAAATGATGTAAATTTTCTATAGCGTTTATAAAAAAACCAATGTATAAAAAAAGTGTATTTACCTGTACAGTAATACTGGTAAGACGTTCGCACTTACAGTAAAAGTAAAAATTATTCAGATTACTTTAAAGTAATTATATTATGTTTACTAACTTAGCTAACTGTTTCAAATGTTTGTTAATTAATTAATTTTTTTTCAGAGACAATCAAGACGACCATTAATAATATGTTCGACGGCTACGAACAGCTTTTTGGTTTTAAGGCCGTCTCCAGATTAGCTTCGTATATATCTGTATCTGAATTCGGTTTAACAGAAACCGAACTTCTCGAGCTTCTTATGCCGACTACCGGTGACTTTAGTGCTCCGTTAAAACTAGAAGACGGACATTTTAATTTTTCCACGTTTTGTACGGCTAAAAAAACTATAAGTGAGAAATTAAATAAAAATAAAAAAATAAAAAAACATTACTAATTTATTCCATTTCAAGTGCCCTTGCTATTCGAAAAGTTCATGAGCGGTCGTATATTGTTGTGCTGGAGACACAAAATAACGTACGATGTCGTGAGGCAAAGGTACCTCACATCAAAAATACATCAAAGGACCTTGCATATGGATATCGGGAATTTGTTCTACAGCGAATTTTCCAAAGATGAATCGGAATCAAAAACTGATGGTTGTAAGTATACTGACTAAACAAATACAATTACCAATGTTTCGCTTCGTACGTTAAACATAACGTGGGTACAGTACCGTTATTTTGTACCGTTGGTTGTGCAGACAGTCTATCTTTGGTTGTACTCGATGAAACGTTAAGATCGGGTTAGGGGTACTCGTCAAACATTTGCGCAGCCGAGTATCACAGCGAGTGTTATATTTTTTTTTTTTTTTATTATTGTTACAGCGGCGAGCAAAGACGGAGAAACGATAATACAAAACGATATGACATATAGTTTAAGACACGTTGAAGAATCTTGGATCCATCTTCTCAAAGCAGGTAGGCCTATTGTCGATCAATATCGTTCATGGTCCGTCGAAACCGTTCACAAACTTTTTTCATTCAAGCCACCGCTCATATAATCATCAATATTGTGCCGCTCGTGAATGAATTAAATCATTTGGCATCTTTATTATTTAAATTTTAAAACATTTTTACTTGAACAACGAAGTGGTCTAAACATAAATGTGTACAATTTTTCATTTTGCGCGCCTTTCCCCGTCTATAGGCCACTTAAGACCTCCTAAAGACTGTCGCACTTCCACGGTACCGAAAACGAAAATATTTACGACGTTTTGCAGGTGACAACACGAGACTCAAAGAGCTGACGTTGTGCAATTTCGATTTTTTACTGGCGGCCGTGCGAACAATATCCGTCAGTTACCTCCGTTCTATATTGGAACACGCGCGGTGTTACGTATTGGACAGAGACGTTGAATTGGTCTATTACACAGTGAGGAAATCCAGTGACGTGCTCACGAGAGACACCTTGCAACTCGGAGCACAGATAATAAGTTGGCTACGGCCCGTGGCGGGTGAGTGAGAATATACATAAAGTAATGATTGTTTGGTTTTTCGACCCCCAACTAACTAGCAACGGCCTATCGTTTCACAGACAGTAGCAAACTGATGCACAGGATCGTGAGGTGTTCGGTGTCGTGGTGCGACGGCTTCACAGATCCATTATTGGTGCCGCACACGAGTTGGTTACAACCGCCTTTACCTCTTCACATCAAATGTAAGATTACCGATTGTTTTGAAACAGCATTTAAGTTACTCGTGAACGATTCGTTTTTTCGAAACAGCCGATACGCGAAACAATTATAAAAAAATTTGTAAAAAAAAGTGTCTTGATTTAGTATCGATTTTGATTTTGAGCAAGCTACTTGTTCAATACGTTTCATACGGATTAAGAATCACGGTTCTTACGGGAACATAAGTTACTGAGTATCGTAATTGAAGTATTCGACTTTTTCTATTCATATTAAATTCGATTATCATTATCAACTGCGATTTATTTTCAGGTGTTAACTGTGGTATACCGATCCGTTATATAGCCCCCACTCCATCGGCGCAACACGTGGTCGTCATACCGCAAGAAGGCGATGCTCAACTTTGGCACACTATGGGCAATACGAGGATTCAAACTTTTCAAGGACATCAGAAACCTATTAAATGTTTGAATATAAACAAAAATCCTCAGTTATTGGTTACTGGTTCTGAAGATCATAGTGTCCTTGTTTGGGACCTAAACACATACGCTTTAGTGGCGAAATACGCGTGAGTTATTTAATCATCAACTCGATCCTTCCAAAAAGCACAAGCACACATACAAACGTGCATGTGTAGTGTGTGTACACATTTGTACGACAATGACATAATTTTACTTTCACAGCAATTTAGAATCGTTAGTCTTAAGCCTATGTGTGGCTACGATCAATGATGGCGGAAATAAAGAACTCGGTGTAGTTATGGGCTGCGAAAACAGTAAAATACTTCTGTCCACGTTAAAAGGCAAATTGGTAAAAAAAATAGACTATCACAAAGGACCCATCACAGCGGTTCAGTTAACATCGCAAGACGTTCTAGTAACGGGTAAATATAAACCATTTATTATTTTATTAGGTACTTAACCTATTTGATCGTCGATGTAGATTGATAAATAGCTTTAATTTATTCGCTTAATTAACATCGTTAGTATTGAAATATTTAACATTTTTAATTTATAATGCAATGTCAATACATAATCCGTATAAATGTATGCATTCACGTATGAATTAATTGTATATTTCATCGGCTCTAAATAATAATGTACTATACCCTCGCTAAAATAAATAAAATTCCTAGTTCCACCTCTGACTAAACCTATCTGCTCGGCAGGGTCGTCGGATTGCATGGTGTGCTTGTGGGAAATGGACACGCTCGACCTGCTCAACACCATTGAATTACCTGGTCCCGTTCAAATGTTGGACATATCGATCGATTCGATGTTTTTGCTGGTGCTTTGCGAGGGCAATCAGCTCTGGTTGCACGCGCTTGCCACCGGCACCCTCATACACAACTTGAAGGGATACTGCTCCAAGGTCATGTCGATCGCACTGGCCGAGGACTGTCAACGTGCAGTGGTGGCCGGCGTCGATTCCAGAGTATACATTTACGACATACACTCGGGTGATCTCGACCTAGTCCCCATTTCCACTTCGCCACATCACAAAGAAGTCATAGCCGTAAAGATCACCAATAACGACGATTTTCTTGTTACCGCCGGTTAGTACCACGACAACGACAACAAGTCGACCAACGCTATTCTTTAATCTTTCGAAGCAAGTGACGTGTAGTGATTTTGGTCATTTAACGATGGACACTAACCTCATAACCACGCACCGAATGTTGATCGTGTAGATGTATTATAATCCCATGTATACAACTCGATATTGATTTCCCCGTGTTTCCCATTCCACCGTTTATTCAATCCCATCAAAAATTAACTTTAACGATTATAAAAAAACTAACAAAAGGATACTTTATAAATTCTAAAAACAATACCCGTGATATACCGTCAAGAGTGACACTTGAAAAATAAAATTCGACTGTCGTAGCTTAAATAACAATATAGTTTTTATTATCTAGAAAAATTATTGCACTATAGATATTATCCAATGGTTGAAAAAATCACGGCGTTACCCAAAATGAAAAATTTACGTCGTTCAATATCGAGTTAACATTTTTAACAAGTGGTTTTTATCATATAAATTTCGAACAGCCTCCGCAATCGCGCGTTTTTCAAATGATCCTTGACTTGGAGTAAAGCAATTTTCACGCCACATCGCAGGCGCGTAACGTTTGATTTACCAACCGCTGCGTCTCACCGTCGTGTTTCCAACAGGAAACGGAAAGATCGCCTACTGGAACTTCAGGAAAATGGGAGGCGCGCAATCCATCAACAAACAACCGTCACCGTTGTCGAAAAAACCGCACACCATGGCGATCACCTGTTTGGACATATCGCGAGACGGGACTATGGCTGTCACGGGTAATGAATAACGATCTCCAGCATAGGCGAAAATCGAGTGATAAAATAACGGTATGCGCCAATTCGGCTCGCAAGATTGTTTCCCGCTGAGATGTTCCCATTGGGCAGCGTTTCCCAAAGTGTGATCCGTGGACCCCTAGGGTTTCGCATGCATACTGGAGAGGGTCCGCGGACGTTAATTAAAAATACACAAAGTACCCATCTATAAAAAACGAAAACACTGATGTAGTATTCGTATTACACGGAAAATACTGTTGATCATAAATACATTGTCGAAATAGTAATCTTTCAAAAACGATTAAGATTAGAGACAGACTGATCGCGTTGGTTTATCGTTATTTATCATAAACATGTGTACACATTAGTTCAGAAAATAAATCATTCAATTTAGTATTATTATTTATTATTTTTTTTAATTTTTATTTGTATTAAGAGGTCCACGATCATTTTTATTATCTCTAAGAGGTCTGGCAGAAAAAAAGTCTGGGAAACGATGCCATAGAGTATACTGCATATACGCCGTATACTCTCAACATCATTTTGAATATTAACGGGTGTACTACGTATACTCTCAAATCTTAATCACTCGAGCGGAGTACATATTTTAATTTTGGCATTATTTCACAATATACATTCAGTTTACCCTCAAACGATTAGTACATTAATATGAAATCATTTTTGAAGGTATATTATGCATTTACGATGGTATCGATTTATTTGAACCATTTTAATGGTTTGGAAAATTGGTTAGAAAATTCTATTTCTGTTAGCAATAAAAATGTACGCATTTCGATATCTAGTTAATATTCATAACCCTTACCCGCCATCACCTCCGTCTAAATCGTAAGAACATTCTATATTTGGACACTCTCAACAGAACCGATGGGAACATCATTGGTTTCCCGGTTCCTCGCGAAAAATGTCTATGACGCAGTGTGCACCGCGACATCACGGTTTACCGTTCCATTTAAGTGTTGGCTCTATGAAAAAAAAAAAAAAAAATCCACGCCGTAAAAACAAATACAACTCGATCTTCGCCTAATCCGTGATAGCCGGTAATTCCGCGTTAAGACGCGTCCACCCTATGCTGATATATGCTATCTTGATGTATTGCCACTTGGCTTTCTTTGATCCGGACCGACACTTGTCGGGTTCGGCCTGGCAAGCCAGTTGGCAAGACTTTACCAAATGGCACGTGTCAACGAAAAGTCCACATCACTCTTGGTAATGCCATTTGGCAAAGCCACTTGGCATAGTGTGGACGCGCCTTTACTCTGTGCTCTAATCTGTTTCGTTCGCTCATGTTTTGATGTGCGCGCAGGCGGTTTAGACAGTCTTGTGAACGTTTGGCACCTGAACGTGGAGAGCTTGGAAAACGTCTATCAACTGAACAACAACGAACTCCATTCCACCATGCACGGTCACACGGCCGCCATAACGTGCCTGGCCATCGCTTCCAACGGGCTGTTCGCCGTGTCTGGTTCCGAGGACAAGCTCGTGCTGGTCTGGGGCCTGACCGTGGGCAGCGCCGTGTTCACATTCAGCGTAAGTTCACCCGTACCGTATCCTGCCCCGGTCCCGGCACCACCACGCACGCTCCCCCGTCGGCCAACATCCGACTGAGCGCAGTTCACCTTTTTCGCGACCCTACCGAGCATAAATGTGCAATTAAACAACAGAACGTTTAAAAAATATTAAAACACGCAACGATTGAGCGCAGAAGTAGATTATTATAATATATTATGTTTATCGATAGCGTTTAAAGTGGCCTCCCTGAACGCTTATCTCCCACTTTTAATAAATATTCAAGTAGATTTTTGGAGTCTTTATTTTATAAATATTCCTCTCATAAGCCATTATGATTGCGTTTATTTTTTACATTTATACATTTCAATTAAACGCAGTTATTTATGATTATCGGTTTCTATTGATCGAATTTTTGTCATCGCTGAAATCCGAGTTTCTGGTAAAACCATATTACCAAGTGTATACATGGATGTAACTTGTAGAACTTTGGTTTGTAAGTTCAACTTTTAGTAAGCTAAAGTTAAATTTTATTCCACTATTTTCCATAATAAATGGATATATATAAAATAGTTAGTTATACTTAGTAAACAAAAGTCAGAAACGTTTGTTAAAAGTTTAAGTAATCAATACAATTTAGTACACGATACTTATATGATGAAACAATAACTGATAGTAGAACCGATTCAACATTGGACATTTTATTAGTTTAATCTACTAGCTTGTAATAATACGAGTACCTACAAGTACCTCGTATATGTGTAGGCATAAATGATAATCGTACAAACAATATGAAGACCAAAAACGGTATGCCTAGTTGTAAACAGAACGAACAATTGACAGCGTTGCATGCAATTAGAATATTTTTTTCTGTGATCAATCAGGTAGTTAAAAAACAGACCGTGCTCGATCGGATTATTAAAAAATATGGACTGTGTTCAATCAGGTACCACCGCTCTTCTCCCTCGAAACTCCGAATGGTAAAACGTTTTCAAAACGTGAACTTTCTGATTAAAGCTTGGAATCATGATTTATAATTTTTCTGTTAACTTATTTTTAACCGAAATGATTATTTCGATGATCAACTTTTTTTTTTTACAACATTTACGGAGTGTCTGGTTTCAACAAAATCAAATCTTTATTTATCAATCGTCCTCTGCCCCTGTATTTCAGCTTTTTTTATATGTATTTATAATCCCTTTTTCCCATCTGTTCATGGTGTTCTGACTCGACAGGGGCATCAGTCGGCCATCACCGCGGTGGAAGTGACGTCCGACAGCGAAAAAGTGGTGTCCAGCGATAAGGCGGGCGTTATAGCGGTCTGGCTGTCGGACAACGGCACGTTGTTGAACTCAGTGATTTGTCCGGCCACAAACTTATCAGTGACCAACAACATGAAGTATCTGGTCAGCGGTGACGGACATTTCTCGTAAGCCGAACACGAAACGAATTGCATTTACACGTTTTCCTTTTTTTTCTTACCATCGTGCACACCCATATATAGGTTGCACATTTGGCCATTGTCGGTGAAAAATGAGGGCGGCCCGTGGACGGAAAAATGGCCCGTCAGTCACACGGAAGAAATCACGTGTTTCGTCATAACGTACGACTCGTTGCAGATAATCACCGGGTCCAAAGACATGTCGTTAAAAGTGTGGCAAATCAACGGCGGCAAACTATCGCAGGTAACGACCGTGTGCAATCCATCCGCGTCTCGGCTGCTTTTCCGGCCGAGGGTGGAGAACATTGACAATATTTTAACACATTTAGTGTTGAAAGCGAGAGTAGAGATTTACGTGGGCCTACGTGTGTATGGGCAGTTTAGGACGGATCATGGGCGCAAGTAGAGCCCTAATATTGGGAGTGCTAAAATTACTGAAAATTAAATTAAATGGTATTTTACTGTGATTAGTATAGATTATATAGATCTAAAAAAAAGAAAATCAAGAGTGCTACATTTGAACTCAGGGGTGCTAAAAACCCTATTGCGCCCCCTAGTTGTGCTTATGGGATGAACGAGGGAATAAACAATCGCGGCCAACGGGGCAACTTTTAACCGGTGTTAGTGAATTGCGGCCCAAAACTTAAACAACGTACGAGTTGCGGCCCATACAATAATCTATATACTACATATATAATATATATATAATATATACTATACATAGTACATGTATATAAACATCACAATATAAAGTTATTGATACTACGTATTTTCTAATATTGTCGTATATTATTAATATTTGTCATTTTTGTCATTCAAGAATATAAATAAAAAAAAAATATTCGTAAATTAATAATACCGTATAGTAATTTCATTTCTTAGCTATTGTTTTGGTTAAAATAATAATAATAATAAAAAGAAAATGTGTGACAAATAAGCTAATAAATATAATAATATTTTGCGTTTCTAGAATATAATATATAATGATAATAATATATAGTAATTATAAATTATTATATATACATATTATATTACTACAACAGATAATACAATAAAACGATCTATATTATCTTTATTATATTATATAAAGATATAACTTGCCGTTCAAACGATTCGTTTATCACTAAATGTATAGCCAACATCACATCGTACATATGGTTACTAGCCGATAGGAGATACATGGGTAATGATAATTGTTCGGGCCGCAAATCACCTATAGCTAAAATATTGTCGGGCCACAACTAACCTACGGCTAAAATATTATCGGACCGGAATTCACCGGTCTCCAACACCGGAAACAACACGCCGGCCGCAACTCACACCCACACCCCTTTTAACACTTACGTTCTTGCGACGTTCTCGGTAAACTACGATTTTTCCGAGTTCCTCGCCATTCGACTGCTATAAAAATATTCCTCTCCGAAGTCACGGTCGTCGTTGAACAGACATCAAAAAAATCGATAACCGGAATCACTGGTGCATTAGGTACGATATTTGCTCAAAATGCTTATTGGTATCCAATGAAAAACGAAAACATTTTTTATCGACATCAAAATCATAGGCATTTAACCACCAACCCCGATTAGGTTTGTTTTTATCTTTTCCTTCGAAAACCTTAGAAATTAGCGAGTTTAGATTATTTATTTCATCGGTCGGCATTCAAACGTAACTTCGAACTCGGCCAAATAATCGCAGCACACGGCGATATCGTCGCCAATCGCGTACGTCCGTCCGTTTCGACCGTTGCCGATTCGTTCCGTCAGTTCGTCCCGCTCTCGTGTCTTCAGGCGCCCTCCGCGTTTGCCGACAAAATCAAACTAATTACTTACCGACGTTTGCCGGTCACGGTTATCCGTCGTCTCGCAGGTACTGGTCGGCCACGAGGACCAAGTGACGTGCGTGGCCGTGGCCATCAGCGACAAGTCGATCGTCGTCTCCGGGTCGTGGGACGCCAACCTCATCATATGGGACATACACACGGGCGACGACAGACACCTGCTGACCGGGCACCTGGGCCACGTGACGTGCGTCAAGCTCAGCGGCGACGGGTCGGTGGCGCTGTCCGGGTCCGACGACAAGCGCATAATCGTGTGGGACACGAAACGCGGCGTCGCGCTCACGTCGCTGCAGCTGCACCTGCCCATACTGGGACTGTCCATGTCCACGGACGTGACCCGGGTCGCGGTCCATCTGTACGAGAGCCAGTACCTACCGATCACGCAGCTGATGAACACGCCCGCGCAGTACGTCAAGGTCCCGGTGTTCATCAACCGCGGTGAGTTTTGTTATTTTTTTTTTTTTTCGTCTACAAGAATTGAAGAATACGAGAGCAATTTGATGTGGGTAAAAGAATTAATATGTATTTATATGTTATGGTTATAAAATTAAAATGCAATACATACGTCGATTGCTCCTTTGGCGATAAATTTGATTAACAATAAGTTAACGCCGCGGCGTACAGTGACAGGTGGCTGGCTACAATGTTATTTGTTATTGTATTGCTGTGATAAATTAATATCGTCGACACGTTTTTGAACAAAGAACCAAGTCTAAAAATATCTTTTCGAATTCCAAATGTGTTATAATTTGGAAATTAGTACGTATTGTAGAAACAATAATCGTATTTTGACTCGTAAAGAAGCCCGTTAACTCTGTGTGTCCTAAGCAGAGGCGGAACTAGGAATTTTTACGCCCGGGGAAAATGTTAAAATTACGCCCGATCATAGACCGATAATCCAATACTCTTCTCGAAAATGTTTTTCTAATAATTAATATACAATCATACGTATTGAGTTTTAACCTAATATTAGTATTTAACAAAGTTAAAAATATCAAATTAGTTGTTAATAAATACAAAAATTACAGCCTCTAAAATTTTACGCCCGGCTCTTTTACCCCTAGTCCCGTCCCTGGTCCTAGGGCCCTTGCATAGCCAAAGACGGTTTTACACTTACCACCAATTATCATTCGTCATTCGAGTCAACAAGCTACTGCACTTAAATTAATTGCAACATTTTTCCTTGATCAAATCCGTCGTTTGAGATTAATTATTAAATATTATTTTGAAAGTAGGACGATTTATTGGGGACCAATTGAATACATGCGAATAACCGCACTCAAAATGATTACATTTTCGATAGTGCATACTTAATAATGTTACGCAAGCTATCAAAAACACGTGAACGTGAACGTATGAAAATATATTTTAAAGGACGATTATACGAGTTTGATTGAGGTTTCTGGAAAACATCGTTCCTTGTTTTTATGGGTTGAATAATTTTTAGTATAATTTTCAAAATTATTTTTCTTAAAATTCTCGTTTATTCATCAATTATTCCTGTCCTTAAATGCCTCTAACGGGTGGCTTCTTATCTCCTGTCACTCATGCTATATACCCTTCTTATTTCTACACATACTCTTATTTTAAAATAATAATTACAGATTGTGTATATGAAAAAAAAAATTCATTAATTCGTGAAATAAAACATTACCTGTTCGTAAACCCTGTTAGAGCCACAGCACTTCATATGCGCTCACTGATTTATCCCTGTATTTTATGAATACCTCGGAAAAATATAATATCCGATATTAAATTTTAAAACTCAGTCACTCGGTTTACTGAGATGTACCGAAAAAAAACTTATCAATGATAATAAGCGGATTTTTATTAATTAATAACGTTTTTATTTCATTGTTCCCAGGAAATTATAAATCGTTCTGGAATCCACTGTAGTTTATTCCCGTAGCACAAACACAAAAACAACTTATCATATGTTTCCATTCGTCATGATATACTTTTAATTGCACCATATTTCAAATGATTCTGGACAGATATAGTATGTAAAACTTACCTGTTGGTTTATTATACAGCGAACCAAAAAACTGTCCTTTTAAGTGTCATAAATTATTTTTAAACTTTTCTCACGCTATTATACGAATCGTAGTTGTACAGTTGGTTTATTGGTATAATATAACAACTCTACGTTCGTAAAACGCATTCCGTGAGAACTTCCAATAGACGTTCCGTGAATAGGTTTAATTAAATTAATTACCAACACCGTGATGACAATAACCTAATTTCAGCGTTATCGGCACGTTTCTGTGCTTATAGCTTTTTTGAAAGATTAAAAATGTTGTTTGTTCAACACATAATTCCAAGATAGATTTAACAAATTGAAAAATAAACCACCCTTCTATAAAATATCATTATTTTATTATTTTGGGTTTCTTTAGGATTTCGATGTTCATTTACATAATATAGATTATTGATTATAGTATACATTAAAAAATTAGTTGACTTTCATAGGAACCAACAAATACGTAACTACAATTTTGTTACTAAAAACTAAGAAAATTTAAATTTTATTGGTGCATTCTCTTTCTGTGCTCAGTAGTTCATGTAGACTCTCGAATATTTAGATTCTTGTTCTTATCTTCTTTTATTTCTCATAGATAAGTTGACCATGTGTGCCGTTTTGAACGGGATTAACCCGTTTTTCGCATTTTCGTCCCGTTGTCCCCAGGAAAATTTTCAACTAAACTAATATAATATATATCCAAACTAAATATTATAAAATGCAAAATACAAATAATAATAAATAAAACGAAATACCTACTTAATTTAACATATTGGTGAAGAAATTGTGTAGTGACTATTGTGGTGGTACGTTATTGTTGTTGAAAAACTGGGTAGATATTCTGTACAAAAGCCACGAGTTAGGAATTCAAGATTAATGTTGTTCAATTATTTTATTGTGAGCAGTTTGATGATTCTAATTATTTATCAGGTACATAGGGTATACGTCCAAACCGAATGAGTGAAATATTTGCGTTTCGAGGACAATAATCCACCCTATTTTAGGGCAGTTTCATGAATACCGCCTAAAGCATTATGTCTTGTATTCGATCATTATACTTTACATTAAGCACATGTAGCTCAGGCAAATGTAGCTGAACTACATGCATGTTATATGTACTCTTTACACGTTGGCAAGTTCCTTTAAGACCTCCACATATAAACTTGCTTTTGCTAACGAACAGCGATGTTATATACGTGTGCTTTATATTTTCTTGAACAGTGCATTAGTATCCTCAGTTCTCACAACCATATTCAGAACGTTTCTTGTGAAACTCTTAAATTTCTCGAATTTATATAAAGAGAATTTCTGGAAAATTTCAAACTTGAAACCTCTGTGGCATACAACTAATCAAACACCTTTTAAGACTATTACGTGTATTACTATTCCCGTCATACGCTCTTACGTGTAAACAATAAACTCTCCAAAATCGTCTGCGAAAACAAACTCACCCGAACGTGAGTTGTTCGTTTATGGATATCTAATATATCTAATATATGTTTAAGGATTTTGCCTGACTGTCATGCGTACTTCGTGCTCTCTAACATCCGAGAAACGCTAACATGCTCTCCATGTACAGCGTACATATAATTCGATCGTTAGTTAAAAAACTCGACCGCAAAGTTTACACTTCAACGAATCCGTCGACCATTATTCGTACTTATCAGATTATTATTATGGTTTTGTTACGGTTTAACGTTAGGCGTGTAAAGTCATCAGAGTCGCACGAAGTTATTTTTCTTCTTAAATGTTTTCACAGAACACAGATCGTTGGCCGCCAAGAAACCCATGAGGAGGATGTTGATTAAGGAATACTCGTTGGACTCGTACACGTGGCAGAGGAAGTACGCGCACTTGACCTCGTCGATAACGCGAGCGGCCGTGGACGAAAAGTTGCGCAGATTTTCCGTGTCGGCCAGCATGGAAGAAATATCGAAACAGGCCAACAACAACGACAACATGGGATCGCAGGTGGGTCGCGCGTGACGCTTGACGAGCAGAGTCAAAGTAGTTTGCCATTTGTGTCGTCAGTTAAAAAAAAAATAATTTCAATAATAATCTCTTCTGAAAACAACTGTGACGCGATTTACGTGTACACCGAACGAGATATTCACGATCCAACCTTTCGCGTTACAGAACCTGGGACCCGAACAGGCAGCTCTGGCACAATCGCAACACTTTGACCAATTGATCGCCGAATGGAATAACAAACGATCGCCTTCAAAATCCACAAGTCGACCGAACGTGGTAAGCATGTGCTGAACGCAATACATACGACCATGTAGGCGCGATTCGGGAGTATAGCTGTTGGAAAAACGTTACAGCTAGAACCAAACTTGCTGATTTTTTTTTTTTTTTTAATTTTTATCCACACGTTTAAATGAGAAAAACGTAAGACACGAAATAATCTACTGGACTTATGACCAATACGACCAAAATATTATAATCGTTTAAATTTCATCCTTAGCAGACGATATTAAAACTAACAAGCCTTATCTGAAATTGCACGTTTGTTGACAAGGTTAAACCCTCGTATACAATACAACCCATGCACCCTATAACGGTACGCGCTACTGTCTACACGGCCCCGAATAATACCTACGTAATTCCGCATTTGCCCGACATAAGTTTTAAGTCCGTAAGGGGTTAAGACTAAATTATTAGTGTAAACATGTATGTGAAACCTTTTGGCCTTTTAATTTTGTTTACCTAACGTAATAGACTAACGCACAGATGTAGTCGAATACACGTATTGTTACATGACTAATGTTTATTAAATAAACCTAGTTAATGTCAACATTAAGTTTTATTAGCCATTCGAACCGAACGCGTAAACATCACGGTATTCGGGAAGCTCGTTCAGAGCATTACACTCTATAAAGACTATATACACGAGTATATTGTCGAGTATTAATTTACCTTCTTAATTTCATGCGATCAGTAACACGCGTTTTTATTTAGTAAATATTTTGGTTAGAATATAATATTATTAATGTATCAATAATTTTCACGCGTCTGTTTCGTTTTCATTTTTATTCACAGCATTTATTCTGTTCGTAGTTATCATTATAAGGCCGAGTAAAACACAAGAGCAGATAATATTATAACATATTGGTCTGTGCAATCTATAATCCGAATTTTAATGAATTTTAAAAACCCGATGAAAACATAGGTTGAAATTTTAAATAAATAAAAAGATACGCTGAAAATGGTTTGTATTTAAAAAAAATGAATTAAAATAAGTAATATACGAGTAAAATTAAATTAAAACTACAATGAAATGTACACTAAGTATATTTCAATGCAACAGTCTTTATTGTTTTATTTCTATAATGCCGGATTCCAAGCACAACAAAATAAGTAATTTATCTTATTAAATACGTTTTCATTAAAAATGTATAAGAATTATTTCAGAACCAATCAAAAAACTCATAAATGAAATAAACAACAATAGCTAAGTAAATTATTTTTCTTTTTTTAATAGATTCTTATACATGCAATGAAAACTAATAGCGAGGATAAAATATCAGGCTTAGATAAGTTGTAAAATATTGAGATGTGAAAATATTTATAATAATTAGCAATAATTAGTGGTCGAAATGGCTCATGATAAGTGGAGGGATGCCTTACAACTCAAATTTCCATGTATCATCATAACATTCTTCACACCTTGTGTACCTATAATATTTTTATTTTTATTTTTTATAGTTCATTTAAGGTATATTATCTTAGTCCGTGGCTCTAAATACGGGTGTAATACGGGTTGCGAAACGGCTTATACTAAACAACACGATAAGCCGGGCGCTCGGGCCTGAATGTTAAAAACAATTATTTTCATCGAAAAAAAAATGTCTTATATATAAATATAAAAATGATAATAAGTATATAATTTTAAAATACAAGTCTTAGGAGGATGTGTTATTCTAGACAAAACAAGTAAAGGGATGAAAACTGTAAATACAAAAAGTAGAGGGATGCTATCCCTCTGTTTCCCCCCACTTCGAGCACTGGCAATAACCGATTGTTCTCCGCCGACAAAAAGTTAAACATAAAAGCGCATAACCGAAATAATTTCTACAATGTTCTTCTTGATTTTAAGTCGAATTGTATTTTTTTCAGTTTTTGTCGAAGCAGAACTCGAGATCGAGCAGACAGCATTCAGCCGACGAAGAAAGCCACGGCAGCGACGGTCAGTAGAGTTAATGGTGTATATGTATATATAAATAATATATACAAGTTTATACAAAGTGCAGTAAACACCCGAGGGCGTATTCGCGAGGGAGTGTTTAAGGTGCAGTAACTTTCCGTTTCGGTGAAACGGCCGATGTTTTTAGACTTTACAAAGAATCCTAGTGGAGCAATTGGTTTACACCCATATGAGCTTTATATTTTATTCTCTATTCGGTTGACTGCTCGTTCCCACAGCCGGTAAAAAAAAAGCTCAACAAAAAAGTTCATTTCCCGAGTATTTCTCATCCGAAGAAATCACAAACAAATATATCATAAACAAATATATCATAAACAATGTATTGTACATGTACACCATATATTTTCAATCGAATCTCAACCACTTTCCACGTTAGACGTTTTTTCGAAAACAAAGTATTGTTGTCGCGTCCAAATGTAAAGTAAAAGTTATTATACGAAGCATATATACCTCTCTTGCAAATCCGAGGCGAAACGGAAACGATGAACGACTACGGGAAAAGTGAAGGTCCCGAGCGCAGGAATAGCGCGGGCTGTTGGATTACAACCTCATTGGAATCTACTACAGCTTTCAGGACCCCGTGGTGATGTATTCAAACGAAATTGGTGCATCCATTCCCAGGCTCTAGGATCCCAAAAACGGCTCCTCGGCGGATTATAAAGAGTGGTAAATGTATTGTCCTGCCACCACTGTCATAAGTGTGACAATAAAGTTATCAGAGCGAGAGAAGAATCAAATTTTGAATTGATTTAAAATATTGAATTCTGTGATACATTATACATCTGTATAATAATAATTCAGGTGCAATGTGACGCATAGTTTACGTGACAAACAGTACAGTCGTTAGTCAATAATGTATTCATATGAATATTAATTACATAAATATAATTCTAACAGACAGCCCAGTAGACGGTAAAAGCCTTGTGCTACAAGGATATTGTTTTCTTATGCTCTACGGTCTGCGGCTATATATTTGAACATAACGGTAAAAAAAGAAAAAATACTACCCCGGAATTTCATCCTAGTCCAAGTCACTATGCCAGACACCGCTCATCCGTGTAACCGGACGCAATTCCGTTGCATATCATATCGAACACGATGAGTCGATAACGGCACAGTAATCGCGGAGTTAGGTTTGAGATCGAATGGAATATAGCGTTGGTGATTGATGGACTAATACAATTCGACGGTGACGGTGAAACTGTCGTACGCATAGTATACGTCGTGTTCATCTTTTTTCTTCTTCTCGATCCGGATATTGGTTTTTAACGAATTTTCTTTTCACAACAAATGTCTTCTCCATTTTTCCCTGTCACTCGCCGCGTCCTCGAGCTCCCTGTAAAATAGCGTAACTCGTACATCCTGCATCGTTTAACCGACCGTATTTCGTTGTCGGTCTTGATCGCGTTCGTCTGAACACTAAATATTTTCGTCTCGTACGTACGGACCGCGTAACTCGGGTGGTGGTGAGGCGGAAATATGTAAAACCGCTTCCGTAATACCACGTTTCGACAGTGTTCCGAATTTACACGTGCGGGCGTACGGTGCTCGTTGGATGTGCACCTAAGGCGAACGTACCTGCGCACCACGCGTTTCCATAGAAATGTAAAGTGAAAATGGTAAACACTACGATGAGCGACCGGACGCGCGTGACGCGTTTTAATACGACGGTCGAGTTCCTCTACGACGACCGCTGTCCACGTGCGTATGACGCGCACGTTTCCGGTCAGTGCCCCGGACTCGACGAACCTGAAGTGTAACGTTTGCCGCCGGTGTTTTCCCCTCGCGTTTAAAATTCTCGCGCGCGTTCGTCGAAACCGCTCGAAACGCGGTACGTTTCGTAACACGGCGGTTCCCAAAATGTGTTCCGCTGGTCCGCTAAACGTTCCGCAATGTAATACGTGAGAAAATATTGAAACATTTATTCCGTTCATTGTTTGATTTGAAAAAAAAAAAAAAAAAAAAAAAAAAAACAACAAAAATCCCGTTTTCCTACATTTTGAATACGAGTCGTATACGCTACCGCTATACAAAATGAGGGGGGAGGAGGGAGAGTACGGAGAAGGAAATGTCCTGTGATATCTTGGACTGGGAAAATCTGTGGACGCTATGCTAACGGTGTTTCGTTAAAAAAAAAAATTAGGAATCGTAAGTTGCTGACCGGCGATTTTTGGACTCTGGACGTAAGCGCAAATTGTTTTCCGACGGGGCGCCCTGTACTGGGATTATTAAATATTAATCCCTAATCTGCGAACCGCCGTTACGGTGTACACACGCTTGTTTCGCACGCACGTCTCGGAAGTTTTACGGTTTCGTTCCGACGGGGTTTACGGACCAAGGAACAGCGATATCCGATCGAAAACACGTGATTAAAATACCAGTTTTCCGTAATTCTCGCGGTTATCGTTCTCAGCCTTCCTCTAACGCGCGACGCGCCGACAAGTAATTGATATCGCTCGATGGTCCTCAGCACGACGTGCTCCACTTGTATAAATTTAATCTGCTCCGCGCGGACTTGGCGTGACTTACACGGCAATGAGTTAACACCGGAAACCGATTGTAAATGCTTGCATGATCCATGTCTTCCGTCCGCGTGAATTATACTTCAAACGTCATACGATATTTTTAAATAATCCCATTTCTACGTAGACCAGTGATTCCCAGCAAGTGGTTCTATGACTCTCGAGGGTCCGCAGTTGTGTTTAAAGTGATCGAGCTTTACTCGGACGTGATTATGGACAAACAATTTCCCTTACTTCATAAAGTTCGAAAATCAATTCAATAACTTATTTTAAGTAACTAGCAATTAAATTGTTATAGCGTTATACGTAAAAAGAAGTTATTTAAATAATTCATTTAAACAAATACCTTAATATTAGTATTTTTTGAGAAAATATTATTGCAAAAAAAATGTGTGTAAAACCAAAATAAATCATTAAAATAATTATTTTTTATTTATGAGCATGTATTTGACCAACCCCGAATAATTGAGAGAAAAGCGAAAGAGTAGAAGACTCATAAGCATGTACAAAGAAAGAGTCCGATTTAGGCTAGTAGGGGTCTGAGGATTCACACCAATTGGAAACAACTGACATAACAGAGCTCCCAATATCAGGGGAGGAATCAAAACAGGGCACTTGGAAAAATAATATGAATTTTTAATTTAATAAATACTGTTATTAATCTAAGTATAAGAAATAAGAATAAAAATACATAATAATTATCATATTGACATAGATACAATTTTTAAAAAAATGTTAGGAACTATTTTTTTACCTACTCCTCCCTAAAAACTAACTCAAGAATACCTAAGGATACTATTCAAATATTTTAGATTACATTTTATTTTATCGGAAGAAATCAAAAAAAATAAAAATACACCTACCTTTACATATATATATATATTGTTAGATGTATTTGATTTGTCATAACATCGTATAACAAAATTAAGGTTGAAAACATAATCATTGTTTACAGATTGAGTTGAAAACTAAAATTAACCAATTAACTGTTTTAAGGTTGTCATATCATATGGAGAACTTCTATTTGCAATGGCATCTTTATTAAGTATAATTAAAAGACTTAATTCACATATCGATGAAAAACTTCCTTTAACTCTTAACAAAACCTTTTACTTTAATCAACTACTAATTAGAGATAATTGAATTGTTTCAGATTATATATGATGAAATAACGTCTATCACACATTCGCTGATCACGCCCTAGACAAATCTTACTTCATTCACCATTATTGCAACCTAATTGTGATCAAACATTCAATCATTCTTCTTTTTAGTAATTAATGTTTAACATTACAGAAACATAATTTTAAGTCTTTGCAATAAATACCTTTTATGGTACATTATTATAATATTAAGTAAATAACATGGTATAGCTACTGTTGACCATTTTTTCCTAGTCATTACAAGATTGTAGTGTAGTATAAGACCATTAGATTAAGTAAAATATTATGAGCACGAGAAGAATTGCTGATTTTATTTCAACTCTTTGACAATGAAGAATTTTCCTAGACATTCCAACTCAATAACAAAAAATTAATTTAATGAATATACAACATAAATATAGAAGTCATGATGTCATCGTCATATAGAAATTGTAAGATTATATTTTAACCAATTAATAATAGGTAAAACATTACTAGTCAAACAAGTAATCATTAATTAATAAGAAAAGATAATTCTTTATTTGTTTTTTATGATGACTAAATATTGAATAATGTCAATCTAAATTAGTTCTTGGATATTTGGGGTTAATTACTTGCATTACAAAGAAATTTCAAAATAATCATTACAGATAATTTAATTTAACACATAACTTATCTTTTACCAATATTTTAGTTTTAATTATATTTTTACAACCGCTATTATTTATTTTGGTGTTAAAACTTTTAAACCTCTGTTTTCATTGTTTTATGTTATGTATTATAAAGTAGTTTAATCTATATATTGTTTTGAATTGTAAGCTATTATAAAATAATAAACTTCAAATGTACACAAATTGTATTACTCTATATTAATAATATAACTATTAAAACACCTCTAAACATATTATTTACAATATTTAATTAACATTTAACATCATTCTTCTATCTTTGGAATGGCATAAAATCCAAGCCAGTGTTGAATTGTACTTTTTTCTTTGCTTCTAGTTCACGTTTTTTCTTGCCAATAGCTATCATCTCTTTGACTTCAGACCTAAAAAAAAAAACCACAAATATATTCAATACGATAATGAAAGAATGGTATATAAATAAAATGTATATATATATATATATATATATATATATATCTAACTAACCTATATGCAGGTGGTTTAAGTTCTTCATGGAGCGTACAAGCTGGTTGAGTTTTATTTTCAGGTACTCGAAATATTGTACGCTTGATTACATCAATATCCCTCGATAAATAATTATTAAATGAATCCAATGCTGAACTAGGTACATCAAACTCGACAATAAAATAACTAGCCTCTTTATGTATTGAGTCATGTGAACTTATTTTCCAAGGAGTATCTGCTGATCCTAAGTTATCAATGCGCCTTATAAAACCACCAGCTTCAAAAATCTTACTAGCCGTTCGTTTTAAACATTGTGCAATTTCAGGCTGAAACAAAGAAATTTTTTTTGTTTTAGTACACTTAAATACAAAATTGACTTAATTCAAAACTTCTCCAACATATTTTAATTTATTTTTTTTAACTTATATTAAGTATTTTTAATTCCACAATGTTTTTAGATATATAGTATTATTTTAATTTTAAAACTGATTTAAGACCTAAAATAACAAACAATACTATGAAAATAATTTCAATACTTTTATTTGAAAAAGTTAACAATATTTTGTTAGATATTTGTTCAGAGTAAACTTCTAAATGCATGTATAATAATTAAAATACCACAAAATAAATATCATATTATCTGAGTAAATAAAAATAACTTAGCAGAAGTATCTAATATTTTATGAATAAAATGTGTCTATCAGTCGTTACAAGATGCATTGTTTTAAAAATAAAAACAAAAAAAAATTTCAAATACTTCACTTAATAAACATAAATATTAAAAAATAAGTAAGTTGAACAATCATTATCCTTTAAACATTTTCTTTTTTATGATATTTATCAACACCATACTTTCATCATATCAAATTTAATGCAAAAATTTAAATTAGTTAATATTAGGATCAAATTAAACTAAGTACAACTATAGCTTTTACTTTCAGTTATAATATTTAAAATGTCTCTTATATAATTCATCTATTTATGTTATATGTATTTATTTATATGTTAACACGAAATGCAGAATAAAACAAAAATGTAATATTTAGGATTTAGTTAATTTTTAAACACAACTTTACTGATTACTAAGTAACTTTTTATTCATAATTTTTTTTTTTGTTAGATAAATGTTATTGTATTGTAAGTTTACCTATGTATATATGTATGTAGGTTTCTGATAGAAATAAGTCATATGATAATACAAAATTTGTATTACAAATAATTAGTTATAATAATTGTTGACAGAACAAAGGTGAAAATTACATGAAAAACACAAAAGGTAGTAATTTTCTATAGGAAAAGTGAAATAGAAAATTATTCCAAATGAGAAATATTCTGGCAAATAATTTAGAAACAGTAATACTTAGTCAGTATATTAAGTATGGCCTGAATTCAATACAAATTTAAACCTATTTGAGTTTTAATCTTAAAGTAATAAAATTACAAGATATCAAATTTGAAGTATACAATTTTGTGAAATAAACCACAACATGAATAAAATTTTTTAAATATAATACATTAATATTTTACATAAATTAATCTTTAAATGCATAAACGTAACTTTACATCAATATTAAATAGCAAGAAAAACGTGTTTCAACAAGAACAAAAGAGTGAAATAATTTTTATGATTTAATTAGTATAATAGATTTTTATTATTCAGTTGTAATTAAGAATCTCAATAAAAACAATAAGTAATAAATAATAGCCAAATAATTAATTGAAGAATTCTCTTTTTTTTTTTAATTAATAGATATTTATAATACTTAAGAATTATTTCCTATGATTAATTCATAAACAGATTAAATAATATATTTGTTACTTTCTAATTTACGTTTATCTTTAAAAATAGAGTGAAAATTAAAAATAACTGATATTATTTTTTAAAAAAAATAAATTATATTTTTCACCATTTAAATATGTAAAGTTTGATATAATACATTTATTAAGTACATGTTTATTCATCTGTTTCGAACAATTCTTTAGTTATATATTTTAAACAGCCATCGTTAAGTTATATTATTGTAAAAAATACTTTTGAAAATTATTTAAATAAATACTCAAATATTTTTTTATATTTTTCTCAAAAGTATATAAAATTTCTCAAATACTTAAAATCAATAAAACAATACATATAATATAACAAAAATAATAACATTATGAAATTGATTCAAAAACTCATTTATTATAAGATTACAATCACTGTAAAATAAGTGTATGAGATAAATGAGCAAATAATAAATCAAGATAAATATAATTATTAAACAATTATACATTACATTTTATTATTTTTAGAATATAATATTTTTTAAATGCTTAAGTATGATTCATACTAATTAGACACATAACTATATTCCTTAAAATATTTATATACGTGCTTAGATATAATAATTCACATTTTAACGTTTCTATTCCGTTCAAACACATAGTTAACCAATAGTCCGTCCAATAATATGTTATTGGAATGGCTCTATCTGATTCAATCTGATTAGGTCTATAGATAAGTATAAATGAACAACAAACATATATCTCTCTGCCATCATTTACAATGTTGTTTGTATCGGAAAGGTACTGTTTCTTTCAGTACATATCCAAATAGTATAAATTAACCATGTCTGTATCAGAACCATATCTGTTGGTAGATGACTAGTGTGAAACATACTTCATCTATCATATTAATAATTTTTTTATTATAACTTTATATCAAAAATACATGTCATTAAAAGTATTAAATAATAAATAAGTAATTTAACAAAAATAAATATTTTAATACTTATACTCAAATGCTTTACATGTTTGATTAATTGCTACTTCTTAAAAGCAAATTGAAGAATTTGATGCAAAATTTGTACTGATAATTTGATTGAATCTCAATTTTGGATAAATGGAGTCAATCAATAAATCCGAATAAAATGCATTAAATTCAAGATTCGTACTACAACATAATGTTATTATAATCTACATTATGGTTTAATCAACATGTTCTTCAACACAAGTACAGACTATAAAATAGGTTTTTTTTTATTTAAACTATTCTCTACATCAGCGGTCACCAACCAGTGGTCCGCGAGAAAATTTAAGTGGTCTGCAGAAAAATTTGAATGTTAGGTACTTACAAAATCTTTTTGTCGTTATTTCCCAAAAAAATAAAACCCTAGATATGATATTATGTGGATAATAGATCAATTGCAGAAAACAATGAAAATAATAAGCTAAATATGGCCGTAAAAAAATAACCCGTCGATTTATTTAACTGTATTTATGTAAAGCTATTTTAAACTAAACGTGGTCCGTAGAATTTAGAGTATGTATTTAGTGATCCGTGAGGTCCATAAGGTTGGCAACTACTTCTCTACAAGACAGTGAAGCTAAATAAATACTTAAATTAAACCAGCATAAACCAATTATCCTTACATACAAGTTACAAATAACAAATCAAACAAAGAAAAACATTTACATACAATTTTAATGATATTTAGAATTTTTGAAAATAATGTTCACTTATAATGATATGATAAATGTATTATGTGACAATATACAAATACAGTTTCAGTCTGCTGAATAACCCTACAAATGTAAGTTACATCAAGTATTTATGGAAGTATTTTATATTGAAAGATTGATTTTTATAATACAGCATTACATTTTCGTTAGACATAAATCACAAGGCACTAATTTTTCGTAGTATTTTTCACAGACTTGTCAATGCTACTGAATGATGAACAAAATAAAACACAAAAATATGTCTGAAATATGTTACCCTTGGCAGCACTTTGAACAGCAAGCATAACTCGTAGCTGGGCATTTTGACGATAACCAATCTTCGGCAGCAATATGCGACAAAGCAATAGTGTATTAAACGTTAAACGAGGAAATAGGAACCATTAATAAAGAATGTGATCGGAACACATTATCCGGTGAAAAAAAACCTAGCCAGTTTATCACACTGCTGATAACAAGCCGATAGCATGTTGATAAAGAATAAAACGGAGCTGACTTCTAAAGGGTTGTGAACTTTAGAAACGGAATTTGGCACGATAAAAATTAGAAGAAAAAAAAACGGAAAACTTTTGAAATTTATCAACTGCCCGCTCACGGAAAAACGACGGAGAAAATGTAAGTGAGATGTACGAATAATTAATGACAACAATATACTATGTAATAACGTCTACGTTATTATAATATTTTCTTTGTTCCCAAGCATACATGGCAAGCATTATGTATTATACGAGTATTATATATACATTATATATACTAAAGGGATTTGCTCACGTGTCTTGTGTGCGCAGAACTATATAATAGTAATATTTTGCTTTCGAGGAGTTCAACAATGGTCAATAATAACAATAACGTTTGTGTATTTTTCCGCATTCGAGTGGCTTAGATTTGGCAATTATTTTCGTACGACAACGCACGTCGCTAATAATATTCCTTGAACCGAATAATAACCGAGGAACATGAGTCGTACACAGAAATGCTTCGGTGAAACGAACCAATAGGTACTATATAATGTACTACACGCACGATGTAACCTGAGACATATAATTTATGTGTATATATAATTGATAGATCAAATTATAGCAGTAAAAACAGCCTGTTAATTACTACTATATATGGGTGAAATGTTGAGAAATTAAGTTCAGAAAACGTTTAAAAACAAAAAAAAAATTGTATTTTAGCAGATGGATGTAATTTTTTGAACTAATAGTTAAAATCGAAAATGGAACAGCAGAAACTATTGTAAATGATTTGGGCAAAAAAATGACAATACATATCTGGTACCCAACAAATTGTTTTTCAAAAAAATATCCCCAGTTAATAAGCAATATTGTTGACTAATATTCAAACAGTTGACCTTAAAATGCCATCATACACATTTAAAAGAATAATTGAGCAACTCAAAATAAATTTAATTGAACTTCATGGAAACAGCCTGTTAAAAAAACTAAACATTTTAAAAACCTTATCAAACAAAATTATCATCAAAAATTCAAGAATATAAATTACCGAAAGAAGTTATACAATGTATTGTAAGAATGACGATATACATAAGGTAAAAAAACTTTCATAAAGATATTTTAAATAAACAACTTAAAAAATTTGACAAAAATAAAAAGTGGAAATTTACTAAGTAGAATGCATTATTACAGGATGTTTTATATTTTTAATAAAAAAATTATTATTTGTTAATCCATTGAAATTAATATATCATATTTTTATTTATATAATAAATATTCATTATAATAATAATGGATAAATAAAACGTGTTACAGTTGTAACTTACAACTAGCAGCTAATGCTTACCGCCTAGCAAGTAAATTAAAAAAAATAATAATTAGTTATCTGGTTATCATTGCTATGATAAATTAGACTAATGAGAGGCGGAAAACTCATTACACGTAAAAGGACAAGGTAATTTACGGAAATATCCGTATCATTAAGTTGCTAACATTATCCATCTATTTTGTCATGGTTACACCCAGTGATGTTCCCAATGATTTTGTTGAGAATATAGGTACTACACCGACGAATATTTGAACATGAAATTTTTTTACGATCCAGACGGAGGTGATGGGGGAAAGGGTTGTAAATATTAACTGCATACATTTTTATTGCTTACAGAAATATAAATTAAAATTCATTAAATAAATCGATACAATCGTAAAGGTCAATGATTACTTCATATTAATATACTAATCGTCTGAGGGAAAACTGAATGTCCATTACAAAATAATTCCAAAAGTAAAATCTGTACTCCACGAAGTACTTGAGACTAAGAGTATACGTAGTACACCCCTCAATATTCAAAATTATGTTGAGGGTATACGGCGTACATGCAGTATACCCTATGTGAATAACACAGGCTAGGCGTGTAGCCAGGGGGAGTGTTACAGGTGTAGTAACACCCCTCCCCCTTGACTATGGTATACTTAAGTCTTATAAAGGTAAAAAATCTATCATGAACCGTGATGAACACATATTTATCAAAATTAAATATATATATATATTACGATAACAGTAATGTAATGCCGGAACTCGGCTTCTCAATCCACTGTTTTATTTAATAAACTAATGCCGAGATTTTGTACCGTTTCATACACGATTTAAAATATATATAAGAAACAATCTGTTCATTTGAAATTCTAATAAAATACTTAAACACTTTCTCATACATTAATATAATAAACATGAACAGATATTCATGTACAATATACTATTATAATATTTACATGCTTGTTCGATAAAGTATACGTAAAGTTATTATTTTGTTGTAGATAATTTTTTCAATTAATTTTAAATAACTCCCCCTTTTAAAATATCTAGTTACGTTGTTAGTAAAAAATATTAATTTTATATTATAATTAAATATATACTGTAACTAATAAATTCATAATAGAATTATAGAAATCATTATGAGGCATCTTTAAGTTTCCAAGCGTTGAGTGATCACTTGTAGTATATGCTTTAAGGAAACAAGATAAAATACTGGTCTTTTTTTATGACGAACATAATTAATACTATACTGACATATATGTTTTTTTCACACTTTTTCACATAACTTTAGAAAAAAGTTCATCATCAACATTAATAAAAATTTGAAACATTTAATAAATAGTAAGTAAAATATACATATTGTACATATCTGTACTCGGAATGTTGTGGCGGTATCTACGTTGACAGGTCGCACAATTGTTCGCAGTTCCAGTTAGAAAAAATATTTTTACTGTTATCTATTCTGACTACCACGGTCTTAGATCTTAGACTCGAGATCTATACTAACCACGAACTGAATATATATAATTATTAGAGATGAGTAGTGAGTGAGTGATTTGATTCATAGAGTTGACTCTTTTTGGTGAACTGAACGAGTCGATTCAGTGTGCACATAATTCAATGACTCAACAACTCGGTGTTACCCACAAATATAAGTATACAGTACATACTATTGTATGTATCTGTGGTTTTACCTCCTAGTTCTTATCAGTACCCGACTTAATGTTCTCATTTTGTCAGCTCAAGAATTGTGAGTGAATCAGATTAAATATGTCGTTCACTGAATCGATGATTCGTTATAGTCTGAAACGAAACGTATAGTTGATAAGAACTTATTGAGTTGACTCACTTCATTGGAACGAACTGAACCAAGTGAATTGAATCATTATATCGAGTCGAAATTTCCACCACCTCCAAGTTAGTTATTAACTTAAACATTTTTTTTTCACACTGGATAGCTGATAAACATTATGCAAATGATATTACCATGGACTCTACACCACTGGCCACTGGTACACGTAGAACGGTCATCGACAGAGGGCGCTCTTCGCGTGTGACTCGTGATTGCACGTCGTGTCTCGTGTGTTACACACGAATTGTGCGTGTGGACGTCAACGGTTTTTTTTTGGTAACCACTGGTCTACCCGATTGTTTTCATACAGTTGTGGAATTCGTATGTACGTGCGTGTGTGTTTTTGTATACAGTGTGTATCGTGTGTGTGAGAGTGTGTACGTAAATAAAACAATTTTCTAACGATAATTAAAACATTCCACCGGAGGCGAATATTGTATTTCGATGAAAAGTGAAACGGGAAATTAAAAAAAAAAAAAAACAACGATTAAGAAAGAGACCAATATTATTTATCAATTATTAAAAGGCGAACTATTTGATTTTCATGCTCGGACGTCTCTCGTGACTCTCTCGCCATCAGTTCGCCACCGCCCAACGGAGAAGAGATCGGCCGACTCGGAGGAGCCCCGTGTTACACTATAAGCCCTTCGCCGACAACAGCAGCCGGAGCAGGGACGGCGGACCTAGAAGAAAGTGTCGGCGCTCCGCGTTAACAGACAGACGTGCGCACGCATCTCTCCGCGGTGTTTGCGTCCCGTCCGATAACGGACAACTACGGTAGGTAGGCGGTTACGGCTGCGTTGTGTGAGCGCGCGCGCGCGCTCGAGTGTTAGTGTCCGTCTGCGGCGCGGTGTCCGTCGTCGTCGTAAAAATATAAATATAATAAATAGAAACGGAAAAAAAAAAGAAAAAAAAAAATACGAGAAAAAAAACTTATTCACTATAAATAGTCGGACGTCGTCGTCCGCTTCATCAGCAAACCCGGCGACCCCGTCGAACACGGTAATTATTTCACTTGGGTGGTTGCAGCGTCGCGACAGATACAGTGATAGTGATCGACTACCGTTCAACCTCGGACGAATGTGCGAGTGCCGGGCGACATGAAAGAACTAAACCGATCGGCATCCACCAAAAAGAAACCAATCAACACTTCGAATGGTATGATCAGAAAGGTGTCGTCGCTGTTCAGTATAGACGCCCAGATGAACGGCAGTGCCAAACCTGAATGGACTACCGACGAGATCACCTTAGAGAGAGGTGACTCAGGTCTGGGTTTCAGCATAGCAGGTATATATTTTCACTTTTAAATGTATAGATAAAATAGATAATAGACATGAAGGGTTCATTGCTGTAGCAATAAAGAAATAACATCCTCGAGTAGTTATTGTTTTTTTTTTTTTTTATGTATTCAGGTGGTACTGACAATCCACAAACTGATGATGATACATCAATATTTATCACAAAAATAATCCCTGGTGGAACTGCCTATCGAGATGGTCGATTGTGTGTTAATGATATAATCACTAAAGTTAATGACACACCTGTTGTCGGTGTGCCTCATTCAACAGCAGTAGATGCACTTAAACGAGCAGGACATACAGTTACCCTATGTGTAAAACGCAAGAAAAACTTATTGCCTATAGGACCAAATGTTTTAGAAATAGAACTCAGTAAAGGTACCAAGGTAATATTATAATTTTTTTTTTACTAACTTCAAAGTGGATAAATAAATAAAATTTATATTATTTTAACCATATTAATATTAATCAGGATATCTGAATACCTATAGTTTAAAGTAAATTATATTTCTGATAGATAGTGGTAGGTCCCTAATATTATACACTTTGTCAAACACACCCTATGTACTTGCACATGTGTATTATCTAAATTAAATTAATTATCGAATTACATAATTTAATGGCTTATTACATTAGACATTTACCTATAAAAATATTAATAAAATTCTTTAAATTAATTATTTATCAATTGTTTATAGTTAATTTTCCAAAATAACAACTCTCGTAACCATAACAACTATATTGTTGACATTCAACAAATATCAAATATAATATCTTTATACAAATGTCATTGTTTGTATTTCTAATTGCTAAACTTAAATTAATAATTATTCTATACCACTTTATCATTTACTATTAATTAAGTTCCATTATATTCTGTTAATTACTTAATTTTTTTTATATATATATGTTGACTAATCTGCTATTTGACCTGCGTTGGATATACTTATTTTTTAAACATAGTAAATTGTAAAATTTAATTCAAAGTATTTAGTATACAATAAATTGTATTATTTTAAAATTAAAATTAATGCCTTTACTTATAATGTTAAAAAATATTAAATTATTTTACAGTAATATTGATATATTTTAGCAATAGTATGAGTTATATTTTTTTTACAGGGACTGGGATTCAGTATTGCAGGTGGTATTGGCAACCAACATATACCGGGTGATAACGGAATTTACGTTACTAAAATAATGGACGGTGGTGCTGCCCAAGTAGATGGTAGGATATTAGTTGGTGACAAGTTGATTGCAGTAAAAAATACTCTACTTGGTGATCGTAACTTAGAAAATGTAACTCATGAAGAAGCTGTCCGGACCTTAAAAAATACCCGTGAAAAAGTTTTATTGGTTATTGGTAAAACTGAACCTATTACATACACAGATTCTGCGCCACAACCAATTATCGATACCATTCCAAATTCATATTCTACAGATACATTAAATACTGTTAAAAGTTATGAAAGCTTATCAAACCACAGTGTAAGAACTGTAGTTTTAAATAAAGGTTCGGGAGGCCTGGGTTTCAACATTGTTGGTGGAGAAGATGGGGAAGGGATATTTATATCCTTTATTCTTGCTGGTGGTCCCGCTGATCAAACTGGGCAATTAAAAAGAGGAGATACTATACTAAAAGTAAATGATGTTAGTTTGGATAATGCCACTCATGAAGATGCTGCTGATGCTCTTAAAAACGCTGGACAGACAGTTTTATTAACAGTTCAGCATCGACCAAAAGATTATAATAGGTAATAGTTAGAGTTTTATTAAATGTTGTGATAGCCTTAGATATATTTTAAATTCGTTTTTAACTTGGTATTTATTTTTCTAGATTTGAAGCTAAAATTCATGAATTAAAATCCCAACTTGCTGCTTCTACTGGCACATTAATTCGTACAACTCAGAAAAAAACTTTATATGTTCGGGCCTTATTTGATTATGACCCTTCAAGTGATGATGGCCTCCCTAGTGTTGGACTAGCATTCAAATATGGTACTATTCTTCATGTAACTAATGCTAGCGATGATGAATGGTGGCAAGCAAGAAAAGTAATGGCGACTGGTAGAGAAGAAGGCATTGGCATAATACCATCAAAACGTCGCTGGGAGCGTAAACAAAAAGCTCGTGATAGATCTGTAAAATTTCGTGGAAATGAAAGCAAAAGTTTAGATAGGTTATCAACATTGGAAAGAAAGAAAAAATCAATGACTTTTAGTAGAAGGTTTCCATGGGTACGAAGAGGCAAAGATGGCAAGTATGAAAATGGATTAGATGATATGGTATTACAAAGGCAGTCTAGAGAAAATATATGTGAAAAAGTTGAAGAAACTCCTTCTTATGAAGCAGTGGTATGTATTAAGTAAAATTAATCACTTTAATTGTGTACTCTATTAATGAAAAAAATAATAATCGCCAAGAAATGGTTTTATTGTTGAAATTAAATTGTATCTACATATATATAATTTCATTGATGATAATTGTTAATTACATTAAAATATATTATCAATTTTAACAGCCATTAATAATAGTGGCCTTTATTGAAGTTATAATGTTACACATTGTAATCTAGACCTAATAAAATTGTTCCATTTTTCAAACATAATTATAAATGATAAAAATATAGAAGTTTAATACTAATGTTAATGATCATCTATCATGTCCCATCAATCATAATTATATTTAAATAATATTTTTATAATTTCTATACTACTCCTATCTATATACTTTTTAAAGTATAAGATTTATATTTGGTGTGTAGGTTAATAAATAATAATTTAATTTTTTTAATTTGTTATAATTTTTAGTTCTATTTATTTTATTTTGTTTTATATTTTATAGGTGCGAGTTCAAATATCATATTCACGACCTGTCATTATACTTGGTCCGTTGAAAGACAAAATCAATGATGACCTTATTTCGGAATATCCTGAACGTTTTAGCTCTTGTGTTCCGCATACTACTCGTGAAATTAGACCCGATGAAGTAGATGGTCGAGACTATCATTTTGTAAAATCACGCGAACAAATGGATCTTGATATCCAAAACCATTTGTTCATTGAAGCTGGGCAATTCAATGGAAACCTTTATGGAACATCTGTTTCATCTGTTCGTCATGTAGCCGAATCTGGTAAACACTGTATACTTGATGTAAGTGGCAATGCCATCAAGCGTCTCCAAGTTGCTGGATTACATTCAATAGCAATATTCTTTAAGCCAAAGAGTGTAGAAGCATTAATGGAAATGTGTAAACGTATGAGTGAAGCCGAAGCAAGAAAACATGTAGAACGAGCAGCTAAAATAGAACAAGAATTTGGTGATCAATTCACAGCCATAGTTCAAGGTGATACTTATGAAGAAGTGTATGATAGTGTGAAAGCAGTAATAGAAAGAAATTCTGGAAGACATATTTGGGTATCTTCAAAGGAAAAGTTATAAATTAATAAACAATGTAACAAATTTTTTAGACAAAAGAAATAATTGACATTTACTTGTTATGAGTGATGCAGTTTTCGCACACTTTCATTAATTAGTTATTATTCATCATTGTTATGTTTCTATTATGTTAATGAATTTTATTAAACTCTGCATTAAAATGTGTAGAACAACTTAAGCATTCTAAATAAATATTATGGTGGATGGGTGTAAAAATATCTATAGCTTAATTTGTCTGTAATATTTTGGCAATTTTTTTAATTACATGATTTAAATGAAGTCTAGTCTTAATTCTATACTCATTTCAACTTCTAATTACAAATTTAAAATTATTGTTGAGATTACTGACATTTAAAACCGTGCCAAAGTTCCTTTAATCAAATTTAAGTTTAAATTTATAGAAAAAAATATTGTGCAATTATAACTAAATCAAATTTCTGCTCAATACGTCTTTTCTAATTTTAAACATTTTTTAGTTTTTATTTTTTCATGTATTAACATTTTTCCCCTTATCAATTGTATTATTTTCAAACCTAATGTTGTTACATTAATCACATGTTTAACATGTAGTGCCTTTTAGTTATTTATTTGAATATAATAATTATTAATATTAACTAATGAATTATTAACAAATTAATTTATTGTATGTTAACTATATGTATATGTGCTATTTATAACCAATGCACCTCAACATGAATTTTGTTGAGATAAATATGATTATGTATTATTATTATTATTATTATTATTATTATTATTATTATTATTATTATT